TTGTGTACTCTCCCCCTTCTTTGAGTCGCCAAAAATGTCCATTACCCGGTTTCGAGTCCCTACGCGTCACAACCATCCACCACTTTAAAATATGAGATGATGTTAAGTAATCCTCATTCGACAGTCAAAGATCCTTAGGACGTTTCCAAAGGGAAATATCAGGCTGCCGGTCACCTACCTAGTGCCTGCGTTATCTCAAAGTCTTATCTGACGACCACACCGTGAGTGAAACAGTCCTAAAGCGAATGTGGAAATAATTTCTCCCATCCTTCGTCTATACACTGTGCGGATGCAGAAGACCTGTGTATATATATATCCCATTCAGGACACGCTGAGGATTGGAATCTGGCAATACTGGCGAAAGATAGTTCTTAGAAAAAGCTTTACTATTTTACATTCAAAACGGGCGTTTGGTTTTTAAACAAACATCAAATAACACAAGATGTCTGAAAAACCCCATCATATCTTTAAATTTGATATAAATTTCAGCACTTTGAACTGAATAGTTGTGGATTATACACATAGGATTTCCGAAGCAGATGGAATCTAATCTCCAGCTTTCCGGAGGTCAGCCACGGCGCAGTTATCATATCAGAATCTAAGGTGCATTCATGTTCCTGAGGACTAGAAGATCAACTCTCAAAAAGCTGAATATTAGCTAACGTTGTCCTCTATTACATGCTTCAATTGAGAGTCGTCCGTCCAACTGATAGCCAATGCGTAAGCAATCTGCACGTGATCTGAAAGAAAAGCGGTGATTGGAAACCTATAGGGATTACAGAGTCTTAAAATACAAAATCATACCAAGCAGTTACCCATTACCTGTTGCTGAATAAGAGTCACAGATTGAAAGGGACGAGGAGCAGAACAGAAAATATTCTTGTTTAGAGCTGAGTTATGGCTCATAGGAGAATATTTTTCGATGGCACAAAGGTATGATTACTCAGACCCTTCTTTTTCTTTATTCGAACACTAAGTGCACACCTGCACTTATGTAGGTTAATGAACACAAGTCACTAGTATGATTACAAATGGGGAAATAATCTTATGACTAAAGGAGATTAAAAAGAACTCAACCGTAAGAAATTACGTTTATTTACAGAAACATAATAAGGAAGGTACAGTGATCAGCTGACCAAGTGATATTTTATTAATTGTTTTTCTAAAGCTGTAACTCAAGAAGTAGAGAATGGGCTCTTTTTAACCATAATTCTAGAAATCTGCTTGTAATAGGATTTCTTCTTAGGAAATGAAACCAGTACAAGGTTAAAAACATCAGTCATAGATGTGGTTGACCTGGAAAAGTAATATCAATGCCAATGATCAATTGCATCCTGCTATATCGCAAGGAGCCGTAAGTAAACTGCCTAACAGATATTGGTAGATTGAGATAATCATCCCACCGTCACGAATGCTGGTTAGATACACCACTCTCCCTCTCCTTTTAGGTGTTAGTCTGTTTTACGTTGAATGATAGATTTCCAACAATTTTTTTCATCTAAGCTATATTTTTTGGACATCTGGTCTGAAAACACTTTCTCCACTAGCTCCACATCACAGACAAATGAGACAACTTTGGCTTCTGTATGTTGGACTAAATATCAACATATCATATCACATTGCTGTTAAGTAATGGTACGAATTTAAGATATGGGTCAGTTAATTGGTGGTATGGAAATAGGAAGGATAGGCATCTGAAGAAATAAAATGAGGAAAGTAGTGTTAAAAATTCACAGTTATGGCGATAAATAGGTAAGAAAGCAAGGTGTTTGTATGTAATTTTTACTTTTCGACGAGTAAGTGTTATATTATCAAGCTGATTGTATTTCATAATCACTGATCACCAGCATTCTATCAGGTGTTATCTCGTTCCATTAGTAATGAAAGTGAGTGTTATGTTACCAGAATATCTAGTCATATTCTTCCATAAGCGCAGTAATCGCTAGACCTTATCATCCACAAATTTTCCTGGAAAATATCTTATTTGGCAGATGACTAAAGTTCTTCGGAGTGAAGAACTAACTACAAACGATCTGAGTTCATAAACTTAACTATTTAGCCGTTCGTATGATTTACAACAACTGTGGAAAGAGTGCACATAGCCCCATATTCCCCGACTTTTCAAAGACGATAGGGAAAACTGACACTTGAACAAACTGTTGCATTGTTCTAAATATTGTTTGACTTCATGAATAGGTTAGGAAACACCACGGCCAAAGCGAAATTCTCAATAAGGCACAGAATGGATTTAATTTTCGGTGATTACTTAAATAAACTATCAGTTAACAGGGAATTAATTAACAATTTAACTGAGACACTATCCACTGATGAACATAGTAAGAGTGTACATAATCAACTAATCCCCACCTATTCTGTGAGTGCCTACATAGACTGATCATCACGAAAGCCAGCGTACTGAAATTTTAGGCTTATGCAAGTAGGATTTATTGACTAATCATGCTGAGTCACACACGATGATAGTGGAAATTTTGTAGAGAATCATAATAAGGAGAATCTCATATATGAAAAAAAGTAGTGGCATAGCTATTTTCTCAGGCACATAATAGTGTCGCGGAAGCTTCGTTGGTGTCATCCTGTGCACACTGCCAAATGCTTCCTCGTATTTAGTGAGGTTGATGTAGAGTGTTGAATTCCATTCAGTTTATTGTCTGAAGTCATCCGTAGTGTCGAGTATCAGCCGACACATGATAAATTATTGCGCAGTACCGCATACTGAGCTTGCATTTGGGCGTCTATTGAATCTTCCGTTCGGTTTAACAACACTTTGTCGAATACTTTACATGGAACTGAAAGAAGAGTGATGCCTCCATAGTTCTCATACCCGCTTAGGTCGCCTTTCTTTGGTATCATGGTGAGGTGTCCGTATTTCCAGTCATTTGATACTTGTTCTTCATCTTAAATCTTGTTGAAGAGAATGTGGAGTATCTCTGCAGTTACATCTACTTTCGTTGACTGTCATGGAATGTTGTCTAATCCCATTACTTTGCCACTCTTGATCTTTCTGGTGGCCACGCTGATTTACTCAGTTGTAGGTGTGTCAAAGATTTTTGCAAGGTCTGCGTGTGCCGCTCCAATTTTAGGTGAATTTAGTGGGGCTGGTCGATTCAAGAGTTCTTCAAACTGCTCTCCTCACCTGCTTCAATGCTCTTCAGTGTCGAAGATTACGTTGCCTTCTTCTCTATTCAATGGTCGTTCTGGATTGAGATAATAACCCGCAAACATCTTTGTTTTGCCATACGCTTTTCTCACGTTTCCTACTCTTTCAGCCTCTGCCACCGTCATTGCTAGATCTTACAACTATTTACGTTTGTCTGCTCTGATGCTCTTCTTCACTTGCTTGTTTGCTTCTGTGTATTCAGCTTGTCCCTTGGCTTTCTCTGCTCTTGTTCGGCTGATGTTGTTTGCTACCTTCCAGTTCCTCCCTCCTTGATTTTTTTCAAATGTGCCAACGGAGATCCGTTCCTTGTGATGGTACTTCTTGTGGCCCAGAACCGCCTGACACGTCGGAGTGATTGTCTCTTTGATCCTTTTCCAAATATCCTCCATGGTAGTTTCATTTCAAGTGAGTAGATCGTGAAATGCCTTGAATCTTTTGCTGACGGCTATCCTGAATTCATTTAGTTTATCAGCATCTAGGACAAGTCATTGTGAACTTGTGTGATGTTCGCCCCATTGTCCACAGCTTCCCCAGTTTTACTTTTGTTTTGGGGACCAGCAAGTGGTAATTTGGAGTTATATCAGTTCCTCTTTTGGTTCTCACGTCCTCCATGGTCCTTCTGAAACATATATGGTCGGTTTGGTCTTGAGTGGTATGGTCCGGGGAAATCCATGTGGCTTTGTGTATGCGTTTGTGTGGGAATATTGTGCCGCCGATGACGATTTTGTTGAAGGCACGTAGGTTTGCAATCTAACACCGTTTTCGTTCCTTTCTCCCAGTCCATGTCGTCCCATGATTTCCTCATATCCAGTGTTGTCCATGCCAACCTTCGTATTTAAATTAATGGCTGTTCTGGTTTGTAGAAGCGACATCAGACTCGTAACTTCCGAAGAAAATCAACATTCATCATGAGACGTCATAACTCTTCCGAATGAAGACGTTCTAACTCCCAGGGTAGATTTGAAGTGGTTTGAATCATGCTTTTTGGTTACCTTTGCTTAGAGATTTAGTTTTCTATGGGTTAGAATCGCTAACTCCACGCCCAACCCTTCATCGTAATCCGGGATCTGGACCCACAGTATCCCTAGAGATGCTTTAGGCAGAGTTCGATGAGACCACACACCGAAGACTCTGAATTTGTTTAGATTTACCGAGATTAGAAGGATTTAATATCAAGCTCTGGCGCTGTTTGTATCCATATGTTAAAGAAAAAGGCAGATAACTATCATAAGAAGTAAAAAACTACTTGATTTTTAGGTAACGGCAAGTGAAAGTGCAGGCATTACGACAGCTATTGATGGAATGTAGGAAGTTCTTCTATAGGTGCTTCGATTGAACAGGACCAGAAATAGGTTGTTCCGATTCATTTCTGCCACTTAACGACTAATGAACCACTGCTGAACTGTAAAAACAGGAGTCCAAATACGAAAATTTATGGTTTAGTGAATTCCAAGCTCAACAGTTGACTATACTAAACGGGAACATCATTTCAAGGTTTACACTTGACAGGAACAGATAAAATTTCAAAAGTGCGAACTTGTTAAACTATCCACAAAGTTTACCCCAATACATAACCTACGGCTACAAAAAGTCCCACATAGGCTGTAACGGGGATAGAAATCGTTGATGGAAATGCCTGCACAGATACTAAGCACCTGCATATTTTTTTATTAGGAAGAGGCATTTTCCACCAATATTTTATCAACAGTGACACATTTAATGAAGTATACTACCGATTGCTGTCATCTTATACTAATGTTTCTAGATACCTAAGTTTACGTTTTAGTTCAGTTATGGTATTCATGGCGCCCCCTGTGAAAACATGAAGTCAAGCGAAAAGTTCGTTGGACACAACAGTAGTGTGGTTAAGTCAAGTAGGTCATCTTCAAAGAGGAATGATTTTGATCAGAAGAAAAAGGTTAGTTCTTTACTAGTAAATTTCACAGTTTTCAGAAAGAAGAAGAACACACTCAGCAAGTATTTGAGGAGTTTGTCGCCACTTTTGAGGAACCTTCTAAATCCCGAGCATGGGTTAAAGGTGGTGTCGTTAATCCGTCTTCAGGTATATAGCTTTGGATATTAATAATATCAGCTTCTTTAGGCACTTCAGAGGATACGAAAGGAAGTGGCCGTATATATAGACCTGTATCAAAGTTGGATGCCAGAATAAATAAAACTGAGGAACAAAATAAAGATCTCAAAAAATCTACAGAAAAACCTGTAAGGAGTTTTATTCCTTTATTCTTGTTCTAGCCAGCAATCGGTAAGCGCAAGGGGCAAGAACAGAAAAAATCTAAACTGGAACAATTCAAGGAGGAGCTCAAATTGTATGTTCATGTGACAACACTCTAACTTCACAACTAGGATTCAACAACAAAGAGAACAAAGACACGCATTAAGACAGGGGAGAAATCAACTCTCTACCCAATCCGAGCTAGATCTTTCAGATGTTGGTATGCGTAATCGTGATTATCGAAGAAGTTCTTCAAACAATCAGAGTGGAGACTCAGGTGCGGGTTTTCACAACACAGTTTCGACACCACCGAGCTTCTATTCTAAACGCAGTCACAACGATCGACATGATGGTAAATCATTTTTGTCACATCTGACCTTGTCTAGTTGATTACCCATACGACTACGATGGAGACAGAACAACAACGAATCTTTTCCTTGGAAATCTAAACCCAAAGGTAATCTTTCAACAGTAGACTACATTTTTAGATGACTGAGCAACAACTATGCGAGGCATTTGGTCGTTATGGCCCTCTTGCTAGTGTAAAAATAATGTGGCCTAGGACAGAAGAAGAACGTTCAAGAGGAAGAAATTGCGGGTTCGTAGCTTTTATGAATAGGAAAGATGGCGAGCGAGCTCTTGATAATATCAGGGGTGAGTTTATTTTACGCTTGATTTCGAAAATTCAGACGTGATTTGCACTTGTTCTCTAAATTTTAGAGTATTTCTAAGTAATAACCTTTACAGTACATAAAATATCATTTTTAGGTTCAAACTAGTATTATTGAGTAATGTAAACACCAAATTTAACTTCCACTATTGTTTAGATACTAATTATTAGTGTTTAAGTATTTGCAAGAGCATTCCTGTCAGTCATAAATGACAAAGGGTCTTGCTCAGCTTTGTATATTCACACCTAGGAAGTATGAAAAAACCAGTCTCCGAAAGCTGGATCCGTATCGCTAAAGTACCTTTGTGCCTCAAGACGTGGATCTGCAGCTTACTTTATGCTTGTAACTATTCTCTTTTAACAGCGTTGAATGATTTTAAGTTGGCCTATTTTCATCTGTAAGAGATTATTCACATCCCTCGATATCGTGTTCCTAGTGCTGTTTGGGGAAAGCAATGGTCTTTATCTAGTCTGATAATGCTAAATTCCTTCATTTGAATGTCCGTAGGTTGGTTATAGTTTCAAATATCATTGAAAAAGGGAGAATAGTTGGTTTGCAAGATTTTACAAGAAAACAAGACGCTTATTGGTTACCATATGTTGTCATGGTTATCATACTGTTATCAGGCATAGCTCAAAATCACGGAAAATTCTTTAGCCTCCTCTATTCCACATACGCAGAAAAGTAGAATAACGTCTGTCTCATAGTAACTTTCTCTTCGCATTAGAATTACGATTTCTCCCATTGTTTTACAAAATACGTCTTTTTTAGCATGGCACGTTTATTAGTGTACCATTTTACCAAAGTTTCTGTCTTAATTCTAATTGTATTTATTTCCTGATTTTAATTAGTGCACTTATCATTTTTCTTTGTTAATGTAAGGGAAAGAACTTATGGGATTTGAGATGAAATTAGGTTGGGGGAAGAGTGTCCCTATTCCTTTATACCCAGTTTACATTCCTCCAGCGTTACTTGAGTTGGTCAAGCCACCTCCTCCAAGTGGATTACCATTCAATGCCCAACCCAGAGAATGGTTGAAGTCATTTCGTTTGGCGATCAAAGAGCGAGCCAAACTGGTAACTGATGGCGCAGATGGTGAGAGTGCCCCACCACCACCAGCCCCAGACAGAAAGCCATATGATATAAACAAGATGTCAAGTGAAGAACTAACCGAAGTAAGTACATAGAAATTTCTCCTTTTCTCAGCACTAAGCTTCAAATGACTCATATGTGGAAATAGTCCACTGGAGAATATCTTATTTCATAGTGTGCACCCAACCAAAAGTCGATTTTTCATAGCTATTAGGTTCACTAATTTGTTGGTTATGATCACAATGAGCTCTTACAAAATTACTCAAATTGAATGGTTGTTTTTCGTAGTTCGGTCAGCATTTACTGAACAGTCAGTCAGTTACAACGTAGAACTGCTTACGTTCGTACGTCAACTCAAGTTGCCATACCTTATTAACACAAAGACGCAATTGTCAGTTCAAATCCCATAGTAGTAGAGATAGTAGAAGTATTTGCGGTAATCAAAAAGATTAGGGTTCGAAGATGTTATTCAAGAAGTATAACTCAGTGAAATAAATTTAGAAAGAGAAAGACAGATGATGAGGAAATCAGGAGACTAGAATTTTATCGAACACAGAGTGGATGCACCTGCGCCATTGCAAACGATTTTGAACCATGTCGTTCAAGGTCTCTAACCATCGGTTACTATCGTCTCGCGGACCCCAACCAGCTAGTCTACATCTGCAAACATGACTCAGTTCACTTGTCAGTGAATTCATGGATTTGTGCCATGTTAAGGTTAGGCTGCCCCAAGCTTCCTTCTGACCTACTGTCACATCACGAAACATAGCTTGATGATGCAATCGGTAGTTTGACATTCGTAACACATGTCCCAACGACCTGAACTGATGACGTTTCACTACTTCATCGATTGATTTGCCATCCCTACCTAGTACTCGATTCCTAACAACAGAATTGCTTACTTGTTGGACCCAGGATACACGATCAATGCTTCGAAGACATCTATGATCGAATACAGATAACCTAAGAATATCCTCAACTCTTACCAATCATGCTTCAAAGCAATAGAGTAGGACGGAGAGCACTGCTGCACAGTAGACTAGTCCTCCGGTGAGCAAACAGATATCTTGCCTACGCCACACGTGACGCAAGTTGGCAAAAGCCAATCGAGCCTTATGTATCCGCGCTGAGATTTCGTCAGTCACCAGACCATCAGCAGTGATGAGACTCCCCAGATAAGTGAAGCTGTCAACACGCTCAACAGCTTCGCTCCCCATCACTAGTTCAGGTGCTGATGTAAGCCAATCTCAAAGCAACATTTTGCATTCCCACAGAAAGAATTGCATCTCGAACATGCTTAAATTATTACTTAAGGTAGTCAGAGGAGACTCTGCATTTTGTCAGCGTCTTCACCAATTAGAACTATAACATCGACATACTCTAAGTCAACAATCGAATCTCTTGGTAAAAGGCCCACCCCTGAAAAGTCAGACGAAGATAAAGCTAACTTTAACAGCATGTCTATGACAATGCTAAACAAGAATGGAGAAAGCGGACATCCCTGACGGACGCCTTGAAGCAAAGAATCCCGATGACAGTTCGACATAAGCTCTCACTCGACCAGTAGTGTTCGAGTAGAGAGCTTGTGTAAGGTTAATGTACTTCTCTGGTACACCTTTTAATGACAGACTGCCACAGAATCTCACGATTAATAGAGTCAAATGCCACCATAAGGTCGAGAAATGCTACTATTGTGAGACGTCTGAACGAGTGTCTATTTTAGGACCTGACGTGGTGCGAATATTTGGTCTATACAGCCATGACCGGGTCTGAAACCAGCCTGATATTCTCTGGTCTGGTCTTCACGAGCTCTAGTTAGGCGTCGGAGTATTATTGAGGTCAATATTTTAGATACTATATTAGTTGAGCTGATTCCTCTGTGATTGTCACATGAGGAATTTTTTTGTGAACTGTGACAATCAGTGATTGTGACCAGTCAGATTGGATTACGTCCAGTTCCTAGATTCCACTTAAGATCTCACTCAATCTAACTGCCCAAACTGGACTACCATCCGTAGAAGTGGCAGGCGTCAATCTATTGCAACGCGCTGCTCTCCCTTGCTTCATATTTCCTATCGCTTTATCAATTTCATTAAGTGTCGGACGACTAACGTCGATTTGCTATTCAGGATCACTGGAGATTGTGGGCAACCGAAGTGTGGTTGAATACCAATTAAACTGACCCTTAAAGAGTTGTGTCCATCAATCCAATCTCGATTGAGAATGCATAATAAGACCACCGTTTTCCGAATTAGTCTCACTTACATTCGGATTCCGAATACCGGCTTTCTTGATGAGTCTGAATAGTTGTTTACTATTGCCTATCGCCACCGCCTTTCTATCTCTTTCGCAGACTTTTACCAACCTGTGCTTAAGCTGACTTCACTCTTCAATATTTTCAGAATCTGACGGGATGAGTTTCCAAGCGTCTATCAGTTCGGTGGATGCTACTGAGATTCACGGCTTCTTCCTAACCTCATGGTTTACCTTATTAACAGATATCACTGCAGTTTCCACAGCTTTTCGGATATCATTCCAAACTGCCTCAGGGTGGGTATGACTTACATCGCTGCCTAACTGCTTTTCTAGTTATGTCTGAAATATATTCTAAGCTGTGCTATCCTTAAGTAGAACCCTAAGAGGTGGTTGTTTGATGTCCCTTACATACGTCCATTAAGGAGCAGACAAATACGCGCTAGTAATTGAGCATGATCTGAACCTAAACATGTGCTCCAGAATGAATCAGTCTTCAGTGGAGCCGCTACTTTGGTGGCCGATAGCGATGTGATCTAGTTGGACGACTTTGGGGGTTGCCAGGTCAAGAGATATTTTTCCTCATGCTTAAAGTTAGGGTTTGCTAGAAATAGACGGTTATGTGAGCATAGTTGCGGCAGACGGTCGCCATTATCTGTTCAATCAGCCACGAAACCATAAGACTCACCCAGGGGTCTTTTCTCTTCGCTTAGCCTACCTTCTTGAGCATTGAAGTCACCAGCCATTATTACCATATCAGAGCGCTCATTATTTGAAGGTTAGGAAGGTTTTTGTAAAACTCATCTTTTATCTCGTCCGGGCTGCAGTCCGTGGTAGCGTAGTCATAGACAACTAAGAGGCGATGGTTAGTGTCCCTATCTTTACGAGTTCTTACTGTCCCTTGTAGTCGGACCGCACATTAGCGACTGTCTACCGTGATCCAGTCTAGGAGAACTAGTTCTGCCCTAGGACTCAGTGCTACACCTACGCCAGCGAGACCTCGGGAAGCAGCATCAGAGCTTCCAGATAAACGAATAGTAAATAAGGGTGCTTCTTTATTTTGACATGGTGAGGTCAAATGGATAACGCTACTTCGATCCTGGATGCGCGTTTCGGAGACGCAACATATATCGATGGCACGAGATTTCAGAGTCCTAGCTAAGGTAGCCTGTTACCTTATTATACACATAGTTCGAACATTAAAAGCTCCCACATGTAGTTTAGAGTGGGGTTTCAAGAGATCAGGAATAATGTTTCTTGAGCTCGAATCGTTTGCATTAGCGGTGTGGGGTGATTAAGGAATGTAAGAAGAGTTGGCCATTGAGATAAGAGAGATGTTAGGGGTTGCTGGAAGGATTAGATTGTGACCAATTCGGTCCCGTGTGCTGTTACGCATTTATTGAGCTGTGTCTGTAGTGTTGTTAATTAATGTACAAATAGGTCGGCAAAACAGAAATCTTTCTTGGAATATTGTTGTGCTAAGCTGAATAATTATAGTCAGATAGTATGGGACTATTGGTAATCTTTTGCAGATTTTGTCGCTTAATGCTTTTTCGGATAGTTTACTTCAACAATCACGCTTTTCATCATCCCACGTATCCTTGGATCTGCTTAATCCAGATCTTCAAATTTTATCATTACTTATCCAATTTAGAGTTTTATATGTGTATTTCAGTCGTCACTTATCGTAACTGGTAAAATGGTGTACGTGCTTAACGCAGCCCTTGGAAAACGCACTCTTAAAATAAATGATAATACAATGTAGCACGTTTGTGTATTCTGCATCCCAAACCTACTTTTTTGCAGTCAGTTTATTGTTCTTGAGTAAATTATTTTTCTCCGATCCTCCAATCTTATCAAATTTTTCGATAAAAGGGAATGGGCCATGTCCCTTACTTTTAGGTCAACTTTCAGTCTGTTAAGGTTGCTGTTAAAATAAGAAATAGGTTCATTCACCAAAAATCATGTGCGTAGTAAATTACCATTTCTTGGTTACCTATATATTGATTGACACGTAGTTTATTTGACTATGATTGGAAAACCTTATAAAAATGCCTTCTAATAGCTTAAATCAATGACACCAACGATTATATGACTTACTACGTGGATTGTTTACAGTAATTATTTATCACGAGGCTATGAAAAATTGTTACCATCAAAGATGGATCATTTTCACTTCGCTTGATGAATTAACGAAATTTGTATCAACTAGAAAGATTTATAACCATTCATTTCATTGAAATAGTGCAAACTGTAACATTACTGGTTTAACCTCTCTCAAGCTTCAGCCGAATTCAGATTTTGAAAAGTTTTAGATTCATCCACTTTTCACCCAGGGGCAATTTGTAAATTTCATTAAATGAGACGTTCTCACTAGTATAGCATGTGAAGCTGGTTATTCTTTCCTTAGTCTTATTCCTTAATTCACATTTCATGGTTGCTTAATTTGTTGATGGGTCTTACCTCTCAAAATATGTGGCCTTTTTTCTCCTGGCTTTGATTTCTTTGGGACTACTTGTTAAGTCGGTTATAGTTTAGCAAACATTAAACCTTTTCCTTGTGTATATAATTAACAAACCAATCAAAATCTATAATGAACATATCGTCACTGATGTTTTTGAATTCTTGACTAGAAATTGGGTATATTTTGACATTTTTTACCCACAATATATTTTAAGGAGAAATCCGTCTTGTAATCTTTATGAACATGTATACTCTTAACTGTACAGAGATTGTAATAATGTTGTTATGTTTAACATAACATAAACTTTCGCCACACCTATACGCTTTTTGTCACTTTAAAGGTTCTTCATGAAGCAGTGGTTAAGGTCGTTATGCCAACTGATCGGTAAGTGTTTACTAACAGCATTTTGTATTTCTATTCTAATTTTTTTTCAAAATTCAGATCCATACTTGCTCTGATTCATCGCATGATTGAATTTGTCGTCCTTGAAGGCCCTCAATTTGAGGCCGCAATAATGCATCGAGAAGCAAATAATCCTATGTTTAAGTACTGTTCTGTTTAATAATTGTACTTCTAACTCACATTATTTAGATTTCTTTTTGATTATCAGTCTTCGGACCATGTGTACTATCGTTGGAAGTTGTGGTCTGTTCTACACGTAAGTTTGCGGCTTGTTTACTTGATATTTGTAACCATAGTTACAGAAATTATTAGAACTGTTTAGAAAAGCTACTTATGTGTATGGATCAATTCTAAGACAATAGTCTATTTTAATAATAACACTAATATGAAGTGAAAATCAAGGATTTCCAATTTATTCATATTATGTGTTGCTATACCCTTAGGTAATCGAGTGGTTCAGGTTCTTTAGAAGTTAAATTTACCAACGAACATCAAGTGATGTATGATAAGTAACGAGGTGGTTGTAAATGCAATCTTTCCCGGTAAAAGTTGAGTTCTCGTAACAAAACGTTCATAGATTAGCTTTTATTTCAGTTACTGTTTTTGTCTATACTAGGAGATCAGTGCATACTTTGATAAATTCAGATTTATTTTCATTTGTAGTATCATTCCTGTAAATGGAATAAACTGTCGACATGAAGGTTTTTTAACACTGTTTCCTGAAGTGCTGTGAAGTAGTGTGACGTTATTTAGATTTTGTTTTTTCGTATAGCAGCAGTTAGAACAATTTTTACTATAATCATGAACCTTAAAACTTATCCGTACACCTTTGTTCAGGAGACACTGTTTCAGTCAGTCAGCTACAACGTGGAACTTCATACGTACGTACGCCAGTTCAAGTTGCCATACCACATCAGTACGGAGATACAATTGTCAACTCAAATCCCATAGTGGTAGATGTAAGAGAAGTATTAGCGGTAATAGAGAAGATTAAGGTTCGAAGATGTGTTTCAAGAAGTATAATTCAGTGAAATAAATTTAAAAAGAGAAAGATGAAGTTGATGACGAATTCAAAAGATTAGAATTTCATTAAACACAAAGAATGGATGCACCTGCGCCATTGCAAACGATTTTAAGCCATATCACTCAAGGTCTATAATTCGTTTACTATCGTAAAATACCGTCTAAGTGATACAAAAAAGCTTTTTTCAGTGTTTCGTATGTGACCCTTTCCTTAATGTTTATTCTACACTATATCCTGCGTAATTTTGCTGCATCTTGTCCTTGTTGCTTATCATACACTTCATACGTTCCGAATTGTAGTTTTAATTAGTATACCTGGGTAAATGTAAAATTATTGGTCAAATACACGACAAGTCAAATATTCTAATAACTAAACCCCATATTTTCAAAGTAAAGTGAACTAAACTGTTGTGTAGTATACTTATCCTTTTGTAGGTAATATTATCACCGGTGGTATAGTTTAGGAAATGTCAAACAAATTATACATCCTTTCTAAAGTGACAGTAGACTAAAAAATAGTTTGAAGTATTTCTTTTCGAATTTGTCTTCACATGTGCTCAACAGTGTCCGTCATTCACTAATACTACCTCACTCAATCCAGTACTCATCTTTCATTTGTTTATTGAATCACATAATTATATTAAGCCTGTGGTAATAAACTTAACTCAGTTCTATCTGGTTAATTAGTAAACTTATATAGGCACCATCTTCATTAGACTTTGTTATATCGTGTTTTGTAACCTTGGAATCTCATGACTAATTTTCATAATAGTTCGAATTTTCTGTTGCCCATATGTATACTGTTTAAGGGCGAAAGTGTTACCAAATGGCGTACAGAAGAATTTCGAATGTTTGAAGGTGGTCCACTTTGGCGTCCGCCTCCGGTGAATTTATTCTCTGGCGGCATGCCAGAGGATCTAGTTGAAGAAGATGATTATCCTTACGCCCCAGGATATGTTCCACCGCCTTCTGGAAGACGGCGTGAATCTGAGGACCTGTGAGTATAAATAGCTATCTCAGTTCAGTCCATTCCATTAATACCTCGTAAAGTTTCGTCTTTATTTTACCCATTTAGTGATGTTTCTTCTGTAAGCATGTTTTAAATTTGGTTTTACCATGTAGTTTAGATTCCTAAATGCCATTTAGCCTGATAGTTTCTTATGGTTCCTATTAACTGTATATATATATATATAATCGTCTGTTTGCTTTCATTACTTATTAGGTAATTACTGTTGAGATATTTTTAGCTGCTGTTCAAGTCTTTTTCGCTGTAATAATTTCTGGTTCATAATCATTTGATAGTTAAGAGTTCAAGAGACTTATTGTTGCCCACAAGGTGGTGGATGCATATCTCTAATGCTTACCAGTGATATTATCATCCTCCCAGACAAAAGCTATTTCAAGGGAAAGGAATTCTTACTTGATAATCTGCGATTTAGAAACAGACTTCATTTTAATACCCCAGAGTATTTCTGAGGATGATTCTCAACCACTGATTTTTGAAGTTACGTATACAGACCTCAATTCACTTCCGGTGTCGGTAACAGGCTAATATGAGTGATAGTTCACAATTGTCCCCTTAAGCTCATCAAACAAACTCTTACTACTTCATTGGTTCACATTTAGTTTGAAATTTCCATAGTAATTACGGTGATGGAATTGGTCAGATTCTTGTATATTTTGACTAGTGCACGGGTGGTTTCTTTACACTAAGAAAAAAATATTTTTGTTTGGTAAGCTGATTATTCGACAATTCTTTTATTGTAGGCAAGAAGAGATCCGTTTAGAAGCTGCTGCTGCATCACGTCGTTGTGGTTTGACGGAGGCACAACGAGGTCGATTCACTCAAATGCTAGAGGATCTTGAACCCTGTCGCATCAAAATAGGCGAGGTTATGGTGTGGTGTTTGGAACACGCAGATTCAGCTTCCGATATCGCTTTATGTATAGTTGATTCAGTTGCTCCAAATTCGAATCTTATTTCAAACCATTCGGAAAAAGAAACAAATTCAATCGACGAGAATCCTGTCTCTGACTTAAAATCTGATCAAGATTCTACAGAACATGAAAAATCCCAGTCCATAAGCATAAACAAATTGGTCGCTCGTTTGTTTTTGGCTTCTGATATTCTTTATAATTCGTCAGCTAAAGTTCCAAACGCTTCCTTCTTTCGAAAGTGGTGCGTTCTTATGATTAGTAATACTTGTTTACTCATCTAATCTCTTGGGTTGTTACTTGGAAATATTAGGGAAATTATTCGGTATACTTCACAATTTGTTTTCAATGTTTAGTTTTCATCATATCGATTTTAGTTTAGTTACTATTAGAAGCAAATTATGCTGAATAACTTTTTCGGCTTCGTTTTAAATTCTTCAAATCGCGCACTTAGGGTTTTTTTTAGTTCACTCTATCAATTAATTGTGTGGCTTGTCGTTAAGTATATATTTATACATGTACATTTACATACCCATTTGCTCTGCTGTCAGAAATAACTTGATTTAACTTTTCTCCTCTAATAGTAATAATAATAATATAAATATGACTGTGAATGTATTAAGTCACATAACTAATTTCATTTTATTACTTTTGTGTCTAGTTTTGAAACTTGCTTACCAGATATGTTCAAAAACTTGAATTCGCATTATAAGAATGTTGAAGGCAAAATTAAAGCTGAACAATTGAAGGTAACTTAAATATTTCACGTGTTATATGCGTTATAATTATAGCAAAAAGTTATGCTCTGTTTCCGTGCGTGGGAAGATTGGGCCGTATATCCAAATGAATTCCTCATCAAATTGCAGAATATATTCTTGGGATTGGTGTCGGAAGTGAGTTTATCTTGATGTGTTACACCGTTTTCACTAATGTTCGATTCTAAATTGATGTAACTCTGTGGCCGAAAACAGGTTCATGCATTTGAATTTCAGACCATTTTTCACGTAATTTTTAACTTCTAAGCCACATAATTTTGTCTCCAACCTTAAAAACTGTTCAGTGTGTTACTTTAGTTTCCAAACGGTGTCAGGATCTTTCTATTTAACATCTTATAATATCGGTTTATAATCGTTTTGGCTTGAGTATTGATTCTCTTCAATAGGAAATATATAGCATTCAAATAACTATCGAGCTTATTGGAAACTAGTGTTATGGATGAAATTCTATGATGAACTCATGATGTGGTTTCTTTATTTCTTCATTAGTTTCAAAAAATTACAGATTTCATAATCTGAAATAATTTGATGAGTTGCTACTATATTTTATATCGATTGTTCTTTTAATTCTATTAATTCTGTTTAGGTTGTTGACTATGAAGCCGATCTGTCGGGTATTCCATTAAACTTGGATGAAGATGATCAGAATCAAGATTTGTCAAATAAAATTGGATTTTTAAATCCCGATGTTGAAGTTTTAGAAAGCCAGCCATTAGTGCAGTATGATGGAGATCCCTTAGATGTTGATGGCAGTCCTTTAGATAATGAATACGATCGGTCTCCTTCACCAGTCCGGTACGCCACTGAAGTTTGTTATGTATTTTGGCACATCCTTCTCTCTTCAAATTTTCAATGCACTATTGAACCGATATAGTTTTGTGCGAAATTCTCCGCTCGTTTATCCATCAGTTTGAAAATCTAGCATGATAACTATTTCATTTTGATTTTTATAGTTTTTGAAATCCATGAGTTTCAGCAAACTTCTCGCTTTAACGAAAGTGGTTCATGTGATTGTTGTAATGTTTTAGGGATACAAATCGACTACTATCTGCTCAGGTTGACCAAGAAGGATTAATACTGCAACGTAGATGTACTACTTTTTTTAAAGTATGTTTTAATAGGTTTCGGTATAATTGTGTTTCTACGGCGAACTTGAGCGATAAAATTAATTGGATAATCTAGTGAAAGTTGTCATAGATTTCATAAATTGCGATTGATGTATTCACCTACTCACTGACTTTTTGGATAGTAAATTAACTACTTAGTAGATGTCATTTTCCATTTATGGATTGTTTCAGTTTAACTTGATACTAATCAGAAGTTATAATTTCATGAGAGACTAATTTTTCATTGATTGTATGAATAAGGATTTGTTGATTCCTTTTTTAGACCTAAAAATTCTCAGTTCAGTGCGACTGCAGCGGACGATGAAATAAAACCATCTGGGGATACTTCTAATCGTTTATTTGTTCCAAGCAAGTGGGAAACTGTTGAGACTACTGAACCGGAGACAATAACAGTCGCAAGTATATGGGAATCCGCCCCTATTTCAGATACGAAAAAAGACCAACCTACCTCCAAGTCCACTGATAACGTTCAAAATACTCCTAATCACCATCAGAACCAGCCTAATAGCTTGAATCGTGGAGCTTTTCTCACTTCTGAAGCAGTTAATGGAATCCCACTCGATACAAGTCGTTGGAGTAACAATAACGTAGCAAATAAAGTAGATGATGATGTAGACGGAGAGTAAGTTATACTTTTAAAGCTAGATTTTAGTTGTACCAATTATCTGTTGCTTTACGGTTCCTAGAAATCAAATTGTTATTTAATCTTATGTATCAAATAATCCAACTAATCACTTAATATTAGGAATTTTTGGATTGTCCACTGTTCGAACATGACTGACCGACAGAACACAAAAGAAAAAATTAAAATAACTGTACTGACGACGAGGTTTTCTAGGGTCTTTTCATGGATATATATATTGGCAAGAAAAGTTTTGTAGTTTAGTCAAAATTAGTTGAGTATTACTCTATTCATTTAGATTTCCAGTAGGTATCGTAAAATTTGAGTGACTGAGAATATCACTTGAAATGCTTTCAGTGTATTCTCTAACTAGGTAGCAAAATACATTTACGTCCTTGAGTCTTTCGTATTGAATTTCGTCCTACAAGTTAAGAAAGCTGTTGTTCATGAGGTTAAAAACCAGTACCTCATTTTTCTGCATAATTTCGTAAATAATCTTCAACTATTGAATTCGCATAAAAGTACTACGTAAAAGTTTGTCGTAAATAACTGTAAGTTCAGGTTGTATGATCTAAAAAGATCTGAGGCTGTATCAATCGTCTCTCACAATAGGTGCCTTGCACATGTATGTGTATCTCATTTGTTACTTAGCAATTTTCCACTCTACGTTTATTACTAGGTTCTTTTAGTAGCATTTCCATAAATGCGAATTCAGTCAGTCAGTCAGATGCAACGTAGAACTTGGTACATAAGTACATCAGTTCATGTTGCCATACCATATCAGCACAGAGATATAATTGTCAATTCAAATCCAATAGTAGTAAGGGAATTAGAAGTTTTTTGGAAATAAATTATTGTATTACATTCCTTTGAATCACTTTTAGTGATTGACTTTTTACAAATTAATATTTGTCTTTCTAGACCATTACCTATTTTGGGGGGACTTGTGGCGTATGATGATGAAGATGCTACTAGTCCGATTGCTAGTGAATCTAGTACTTCACCTGTACCAGTTTCCCAAATTCCCTGTCCGACTCCCGTAACATCCGCAACTCCTCATGTTCCTTCAACTCCCACTAGTACGCCAGCAACTGCACCTGTTTCTGAAGAACGTCGTGCTATCCTAAGAGAAGTCGAACTCAAGGTATTAAAGTATCAAGATGAGTTAGAGGCAAGCCGTAAAGGTGACAAAACAATTACAGATGAAGCTATAAATAAGGTAACTGAAGTAGTTTCTGTCAGTGTTAATGTCATTATGTGTTATAACCTTAGTTTTACCTGCTGTAAACAGATTATAGACTTTCTCCTACCTTTCATATTTCTATATAATTTCAACATGTCTAGATATCATATTAACCTATCAGATGTAAGGTTTGTTAGAAACTTTTGATTGAGCAGTATTATGCCGCGGAAACTTGAAATATGTTTTGTCAGCACTAACTTGAAGTTCCTCAATTTTTAATCCTCATTTATGCGTAGGCGCGATATCAGTTTGCCTACCGAAGGTCTAGTCTACTGTGCAGCAGTGCTCTCCGACCTACTCTATTGCTTTGAAACATGGTCTATAAAGGTTGAGGATATTCGATCATAGATGTCTTCGAAGCATTGCTCGTGTATCCTGGGTCCAACAGGTAAGCAATTCTGTTGTTAGGAATCGAGTACTAGGTAGGGATGGCAAATCAATCGATGAAGTAGTGAAACGTCATCAGTTCAGGTCGTTGGGACATGTGTTACGAATGTCAAACTACCGATTGCATCATCAAGCTATGTTTCGTGATGTGACAGTAGGTCAGAAGGAAGCTTGGGGCAGCCTAACCTTAACATGGCACAAATCCATGAATTCACTGACAAGTGAACTGAGTCATGTTTGCAGATGTAGACTAGCTGGTTGGGGTCCGCGAGACGATAGTAACCGATGGTTAGAGACCTTGAACGACATGGTTCAAAATCGTTTGCAATGGCGCAGGTGCATCCACTCTCTGTGTTCGATAAAATTCTAGTCTCCTGATTTCCTCATCATCTGTCTTTCTCTTTCTAAATTTATTTCACTGAGTTATACTTCTTGAATAACATCTTCGAACCCTAATCCTTTTGATTACCGCAAATACTTCTACTATCTCTACTACTATGGGATTTGAACTGACAATTGCGTCTTTGTGTTAATAAGGTATGGCAACTTGAGTTGACGTACGAACGTAAGCAGTTCTACGTTGTAACTGTTATCTGTGTTTGGGTAGAAAATATGAGTTCGGCGTTCGTTTCTGATCATTTGTTCATACACCGTCGGAGTTGCTTGAAGCCGGAAATCACTATTATCAGTTTGGATCATATGAGATTTCCAAAGTACTGTATATTGTATTTGTTATTGCTAATGACCCCTCATTTTTCCTAATACTAATCAGAGTTGAGTGATTATGTCTTAAACTATTTTATTACAGCAAATTCAACGTTATAGAGAACGACTCTTAGAAAGCCTAGTGGACAATGAACATTCTGTACATAAAAAAGGACATAAATCTGTTCACCGTAATAAATCTAAACCATCCAAAATTACCAAAGAAAAAAGTGGTCAATCGAAATATCAGTCCCGAGGTCGTGACATGTCGTCTTCCCCCACACGAAGGAATTCGAGGGATCGATCACCTCCGCGTTCCTTTCGTGATCGTGATCGTCCCCGCCGACGTCACACTCCTCTTTCTGGGAGCTTGGGTCCTGGAGACGGGAGTATTTACGATAGTCCTTCTGTCCGAATGGACTCACGAAATTCCAGTGAACGTCGAAGGACGTCTGCATGTGGCTGGGAACCTGATTCGACAGAGGATGAAGTTGGTTACTCAACGCATTTGGAAGATGTGGAAGAGGGAGAAGCTACTGAAGATGATGATGCGGCGGCATTTAGTTCAAATAAATCTCATCCCATTACTCCAAAGAAAAAGCATGCTGCACATAAATCGGTTAGCAACATTTTCATTGAGTTACCCTGGTTACTTTATAATTTTCAAATTTTTCATGTTGCGCTCACGTATTATGTTGATTAAAAATTTGAGTTCGCTGAATATTTTGTAAACAGTCGAACTCCATATTTTAAATCTAGCTTACGTTCATCGGTTTCACACAACATGTTAATAAATTAAACCCCGATAAGTTTCACTTTGTTGTAGGATTGTTAGAATAAGAAGCTCATAAAATATCCTAAGGCCAAATACGAATGTTTCTACTCATAGTTGCAGCTCCAGGACTTGACCTGTGTTTTTGGTAGTAAGCCCTAGGATGGTCCTTCTAAATACCTACTTATCTCATTTGGGAATGGATCTTTAGTGGTCCGGAATCTAACTCCAAATTTTACGAACATTTCAGTATGTTACGAAACGAATCTTTCGTCTAATTTCCGTATATCATTCTTAGACAAACCCCGTTTGTCTAACGGTGGTTAATAAAAGCCGAATACGGTTTGAATGAATTTATTTCATACATTCGCATATGCAAGAGAATTAGAACGCGAAAGCAAAGCGAAGTGAAACGGAGAAGGTGAGTAGGTCAATTCCATGTGATGAGGCATGACTAAGTAGTTATAGTCAGAAAATAATGAACTAAATATGTTATAAGTAAGCAATACAAACATGCATTCAAGTAAACACAACCAGCATTTTAAGCGAATTATTGATAAGGTGAAAAGTGATGTAAAAATAAACTCGGGTAGAAAAGGTTAATTAGTTTGTTCAAAACCGGAGACAAGCTATTTGCCTCAACATATAAGTACTCACTACAGATCATTCGTTATATTTTTAACCCAACTTTAAAATACTTATGGTCTTTTGTCATTTCATCTCATTATTTTCTTGCCTATTTTATTCTTCTTTTTTTCAGACTCGTAAACGATATCGTTCACGGACTCCCGACACAGTAGCAACTCATAATCGTCATTCTCATCGTTCTCGAACTCCGTCACCATGCAAAAAAAAGATGCAGTTGTCAGATTCAGCCTCCAGAAGTTCAAAACGAAAATAAAAAATTTCTCATCGTTTTGCACAGATGGTGTTTCAGCTTACACCTTTGTACAGTTTCTAATTTCCTCTTAATTTTCTGATCTTTTGTTTGTATGTGTAAGTCCGATGATAATGTAGTAATACCATCATCCTCAAAACTGAATAAATTATAAGCGATTTCACAATTTTTAAAATTTTATGAAGAAACGAAATCGATCATGTTTAAAATAATACATTTAAGACAAGCATATAAGATGATGATTCATTTTTTGTAGAATTTATTTTGTTTACAACCGTGTGAAAACTGACAGAGATTTCATTGTTTTATGGCTAAAGATAATACTTTAAGTTAGCCGTAAATTCTTAACATTACGACGTCACCAAATAATTCGCTTTGAAAAATCAACTTTCTGAGAGTTTGTACAGATAATGTTTTCACACAAAGCCTGTGAGGCATTGAACATCTATCATTTGATGAATATTTTCCGTTTTATTCTAGCGCCGTACGCAACTATACTTTAGTTTTATACTTCATTGCAGGTATCTTTTGTGTCAGTATGTAGTCACCAACAGGTATTCTCTGTTCTGATCTAGTAGCTGTAGTTAGTTAATTATTAGATCCCTTCCGTTTCCATGGATCACTTTTCAAAAACATCAAATAGGTTATCCTGAGTTTCAGATTACATGAGATGTTTTTATTCAGAAGATAATTTAATAAATTTATGGATTGTACTGTCACTTGAAAACTTAACATCTGTTAGCAGGCCTTTTCTCGAATTCACTTTTAGGCTATCATCGTTATCAGTTTATGTAATTTTTTTACTCGATACGACGTTAGTGGCAGTAATTATACTGCAAATTATGGAGTAGGATATTTGGAATGTTTTTTTCCACGAAATATACTACTTACAATTACTAACCATCCTTAAAATGATTGTGATCGTAAGTTCTATCAACTGCTTGAAATATTAAAATTGCGGATGATCAGAGTTCTGGAATCTAAAATTGCCAATAGCTTCTGATTTAATCTTCTGTCTAATAATATTGCAAACACTGGAGAAGCTATATTAATTGTGCTACCAATATTGTGACAGGTACAATGTGAAACTCCTAATACTTGAATTAAAGTTCAATACCATGTTTTAATGTGAAATTTCAGTGTTGTGAGTTTTGGTATGTCGTTTATATGGAAGTAATTCTTATGTTTTCCGAACTATTTCTCTACAGAGAAATGCATGGCGTCATGAGAGTTTGGAGTATGTCAAGAAGGTTAAATCTGAATAATATAAATCGGTTATAATAGAGTTCATTTCTCTGAGTTGGGTGGTTTGGTCGTGGAGCCATCATTTTTCTTCTGCACAAGCTTCTGATAGAAGTGGAATATTGGACTTTGTTCATAACTTGTCCTGTCAACCTCCATCTAGATTTGTCATTGTTGACCATTATTCTTGTCATAGTTTGAATCCTTATTTTAAGTGTCGTTTCCATTGATGTGATTCATGGTCATATATTTGTCTATGATTTATTTGTAATTGATTGATAAATTGAATCAGTTTCAATGTGTTTGTTGACTTCTAATTATCTGAGTATCAAGCTTCTAAAAATTCTCTGATGTTCTTAGAATTCTTACTTTACAGGATCTCAACGTTTTTCCAATCGACTGTTTATCCTCAATTGTCCGCTTCCATTGATGTAAGGGAAGAATTTCATTACTTTTGAACTCTAGTTGATGTTCGTTCAGGCGAAAACGAAGAAGAAATATTTAAGTCTTAGAAAGAGGCACAGGTCGACAGGGCAAGCTGTGAAGAAATTCCAATACTCTACTTCTATCTGAAACTTGTGCTTATAATGTTGTACAGAAGAAAACTGAAAGCTCGACGACCAGACAATAAAACTCAGCAAACGAAGTCCGTCGTAATTACCCACCTGAGCTGCGAATTCTATCTCAACATTAGCTGGTAGAACAATCTGGTTTGATAAGTAATTGCAATAGATTAAAATTCGATAAAATCTGTTAGGGATTATCATTGTAAAGGTTTATGTTGAGTTCCGTAGATGAGTATCCAAAAGATAATTTCTCACTTTTCTAATTTACTAAAATTCATTAGCTAATAAATAACGTCAAATTTACTTCACTGACGATTCGTGTCCAAAACCTTTCATATCACCTACTTTCTAAAATGGATATGCAGATTTTGCTATTTAATTGTATGAACTGAAAGATAAATTTGTATTTCACTTTTTATAGAAAGGAAGGTGTTCCATTTTTCCAAAATATTTTTAATACATCAGAATTATTTTGTATAAACTGGGACTCAAGTTTTTCTTGCTACTTTTCTGCTTTATCAGCCTTCCAATTCTACCGTTCCTAATGACATTAACTCCATTATTCTGTTTGTTTACCTTTTTTCAAGGATACTAAATTAATTAATACAATTTAGTGCATCTAATAAATCTCAATCACTTATTTTTCTTTTCGTGTTAACGGGGATTTCACGGATGGAAGTCATTTATAGAATCGACGGTGGAGTGATTCGTAATTTCGTATCGTTGATTGGCTGTCGTTTGGAGATTGACTTGCGTAAATCTTGTTTTAGTGTTAAAATATAAGTTGTTACTTCGAAAAGACGGGAAACTCGAGTATATTTTGGTAACGTAACTTTGCTTATGATGTGAAGACTAACAAAGCCATGTCACTTACCACCCCCAATATAGGTTTGCCAAACGATTACTGTGTTGGGTTAACGTACTAAGTTTCAGTTTGTTATCCATTGCAGCGAATTCACTTTCAGCAGCTTTGTAAATTTTATATTCTTTCCTGTTGAACTCCATTGATCGTCACCTCAGCCGTGTACTTCAGCAGTCCCATTCTCCTAGTACTACTATGATTGTATTCGAGAATAATCAGTTTAGGCCGACACGGCTAAAGATGCATTTCAATAATGCTCTACGTGCTTACTTAAAATATTAATTCCTACGTGCTTATTTACAAGTCAAAATCGAAGAATGGCGTAAACAAGAACAGACAATGAATAAATCCACAGGCGGAATGCCTTTAATGAACTAACGATAAGTAGATGTTGAACGTAAGGGATTGTATTTGCATACTAAGTCCCGAACTACCTAACTGGTTAATATATTTAACGATGAGGCTAGTTCAGACAGACAGATACAACACAGAACTTGGTACGTAAGTACATCAGTTCAGGTTGCCATGCCCCATCGGCACGGAGACGCAACTGTCAGTTCAAATCCAACAGTGATAGCATTAATAGAAGTATTAGCAGTAATGGAGAAGATTAGGGAGCGAAGTTATGATTCGAGAAGTATATATAATTCAGTAAGATAAATTTAGGAGAAAGGTAGGGATTATGAGGAAGGCAGAAGCTTAGAATTTCGTAGAATGTGGATGCACCTGCGCCATCGCAAACGATTTTGAACCATGTCGTTCAAGGTCTCTAACCATCGGTTACTATCGCCTCGCGGACCCCAACCAGGTAGTCTACATCTGCTAACATGACTCAGTTCACTCGTCAGTGACTTCATGGATTTGTGCCATGTTTTGGTTTGGCCGCCCCTAGCTTTCTTCCAACCTACTAATACACTGCAAAACATAGCTCGTCGCGGCAGTCGTTGGTTAGCCATACGTAATACGTCCCAACCACCTAACCTGATGAAGTTTCACTACTTCATCTATTGATTTGCCATCCCTACCTAGGACTCGTTACCCATGATACACGAGCAATGCTTCGGAGACATCGATGATCGAAAACTAGTAACCTACGAAAGTCCTCTACTCTTAACGGCCAAGTCTCGCATCCGTGCAGTAGGACGGAGCGAACTGCTGCACAGTAGACTCGTCCTTTGGTTAGCAAACGGATATCTCGCCTGCTCCATAGGTGACGCAGTTTGGCAAAAGCCGATCGAGCCTTCTGTATCCGAGCTGAGGTTTCGTCAGTCACCAGGCCATCAGCAGTGATGAGACTCCCCAGAAGAGTCAAGCGGTCTACACGTTTGACTACTTCACTCCTTATCACCAGTTCAGGTGCCGATGCAAAGCAATCTTGAAGCAACATTTTCTATTTCGAGGGTGAAACATTAGAGTCAGTCAGCTACAACGTAGAACTTACGTAGGCAACGTACATCACTTCAAGCTGCCAAAGCACAGCGAAGAGATGGAATCGCAAATTGAAGTTCCAGAGTAGTAGTAATCGGATTTAGAATTTTATAGAACACAGAGTGGATGCACCTGCGCCATTGCAAACGATTTTGAACCATGTCGTTCAAGGTCTCTAACCATCGGTTACTATCGTCTCGCGGACCCCAACCAGCTAGTCTACATCTGCAAACACGACTCAGTTCACTTGTCAGTGAATTCATGGATTTGTGCCATGTTAAGGTTAGGCTGCCCCAAGCTTCCTTCTGACCTACTGTCACATCACGAAACATAGCTTGATGATGCAATCGGTAGTTTGACATTCGTAACACATGTCCCAACGACCTGAACTGATGACGTTTCACTACTTCATCGATTGATTTGCCATCCCTACCCAGTACTCGATTCCTAACAACAGAATCGCTTACTTGTTGGACCCAGGATACACGATCAATGCTTCGAAGACATCTATGATCGAATATCCTCAACCTTTATAGACCATGTTTCAAAGCAATAGAGTAGGACGGAGAGCACTGCTGCACAGTAAACTCGTCCTTTGGTTAGCAAAGGGATAACTCGCCTTCGCCATAAGTGACGCAAGTTAACAAAACCACTCGAGCTCCATGTACTTGGCCGAGATTCGTTGAGACACCAGATCATCAGCACTGATGAGACTACCGAAATAATTGAAATGGTCAACACGCTCAAATGCTTCGAGTGTGACGCAAGCCAATCCTGAGGAGACATTTCGCATTTCCATAGGAAAATCGCATCCGGAATATACTTGCATTGTTTCTACATATTGTCAGTCTTCACCATGTTATCGCTATATTCAAATGAGCATGCGAGTATCCCGGTAGAAAGTGGACTCCTTAAAAGTCAGACAATGCAAGTGTCTTCTATAGAAGCCTGTCTGTGACAAAGTTAAATGAGAATGGAGAAAGTGGACAACCGTGACGGACACTACTCAAGGTTCAACTCCGATGACGGTTCACCATAATCTCTGACTCAACCAGTAGTGTTCACGTAGAGAGCCAGTATATATATATAAGTCAAACTGTTTTCTCTGTGATTGTCATATTAGGACTTTTGTAAAGTGTGATAATCAGTGATTGTGATCAGTTATATATGAATACGCCCTACTTTTCTCCCTCGCCTTAGATTTTTTTATAGCTTTCTCAACTTCGTAAAGAGTAGGACTTTTATCGACTTGCTATTCAGGTTGACTGGAGATCGTGGGCGACCGAGCTGTGGCCAGTTGAAATAATCCATTAAGTGTTCTACGTATCGATTGAATGAATGATACAGCCGTCCACTTCTGAGATAGTTTCGCTAACAGACGAATTTCTAATACCGGTTTTCTTGATGAGGCCGAATAAATGTCTACAGTTCTCTGTCATCGCTCTTGCTTTCTCTGCTCACCACTGTTCGCGATCATTCTGTAGGCTTCTTATCAGCCTGCACTTAAGCTGACTTCGCTCTTCATCATGTCCATAGCCAGAAAGGATGTGTTTTTGGGCGTCTATCAATTCGGTATGTGCTTCTGAAACTTACTGTTTCTCTCTAAACCTTATGGTTTGTGTTAGTAGCACATATTACTGCTGTTTCCATAGCTTCTTAGATATAATTCCAAGCATCACTTACATGGCTGCCTAACTGTATTTATAGTTGCTCGAGAAATATATTATTGGGTTTGTTGCCATTAAGTAAAACATCAAGAGGTTTATTTGATGTCCCTTACTTACGTCCATTAAGAAGTAGACAAATACGCGCTAGTAATCGAGCATGATCTGAACCTAAACATGTGCTCCAGAATGAACCAGTCTTTAATGGAGCCGATACTTTGGTGGCTGATAGAGATGTGGTCTAGTTGGGACGACTTTGGGGGTTGTCAGGTCAAGAGATATTTTTCCTTATGCTTTAAGTTAGTGTTTGCTAGAAATAGGCGGTTATGTTGTGGTGTGAGCTACTTATAAGCAGTATATGACGTGAGAGTCAACGTAATGTCTGGCAGCAGAAGATGGGGGAAGATCAAGAAAGGAAGAGTTAAAACACAATGGAATTTGTATGAAACGCATGAATAGTGACAATGGATTGATGTTTAGAGTTGGTTTTCATGAGACCAGGAATAACATTTCATGGCGCAAGGAGAGAAGCGTTTGTCGAGGAGGTAAGAGTTATTAGGTGTAGGAAGGATTTGATTGTGTCCAATTCGGTCTCATGTGCTATTACGAGTATGATGTCACTTCCCGGCTGCCAAAACTTCTTCGAGAAGCTGAGAAAATTTTATTCGTGTTGGTCTCAGAGCGTGACCGCAGAGCTCAAAGGCCAACTGCCCGAGCACAGTCATACGCGGCCTTTTTTTAAGAAGTCTTAAATTGTTAGCTCGTCTTCGAATAGCCTTACCGCCTGAGACGGAAATCCGCGAGGTATTGTGTGACATTTTTAGGATCGACCTTTTCTAACCTCTTCCTTCCTTGTGAGAAGGCGCCATCGTTGTAGATGTTGGTTATCCGAAGTAAACACCCTACCACTGCCGAACACCTCTGCAGTCGGCAGTGCGACTTCACCCTCAGGTCTTGGGTTGCTGAATTTAGTCTCATCGTTCTCCAATCGACCTGCTTGGCAAAAACAACGAAAATCTGTGCTTGATTTATAGATAAAAGAAATGATCATTGAAAATATTTATTATTAGAATGTGAATTTACCAAGTATAAATTTCCTTTAAATTAATATACGATAGACATGTGTACGCAAGAATATGTGGAAGAGACAAAAAGCAAGTTCACAAAAGATGCAATTTCTATTTAACATTCAATAAAATATATTAATTATCTGCTGAAGTGAATGTAGTCAACTATAGACAGAAAGCGTGTAAGTAAAGTAAATATGTTGTAGTAGTAGGAAAATATATATAAAAATTTAAAATAGCCATTGCAGACAAACAATTAGTAATAAATATTTACCCTAAAGAAAGAAAAATAAACTTAAAATATCATTAATATATGGACATACAAGACTTTTTGCAACAACAAAGCATAAAACTAAATAAAGAAGTTACACAGAACAACAAAAAGCACGTGAACTCTTGTCAAGTAATTATAGAAATTATTTTATGTTACAACTGCTTTCTTTTTCTTCTAAAAAAAATGCTTTAATTATAAAGAAGATTACCAAAAGAAAAACCTAATTTTGTTTGACACGTATAGTTGTTTTGACTGAAAAAATCGACTCATGAGTCATTGTTACAACAAGTAATCTGCAGAAATAATAATAATAATAATAAATCCATAAAGCCAGAATATGAAAGACAAATTGATGAATACTTTATATCTGTTGGAAAAACAATAAGAAATACATTCACATAGAATTAAAAGTTATTTTCTTAAAAATAAAATAAAATATGTGCAAAACATTTATATAATAGCGATTAGACAACAAGTTGATAGAATTGAACACTCAGATAGATAAATAAAAACCGGAAAATTTATCATATATGGATAAGTAAACAAAGAACCTGACAATATAGTAAAAACATTTAAGTTAAATTAATTTTAAAAAAAGAAACGATTATTCTGACTCAGATCGACACAAAACAGACGTTGAACAGGAAAAATTATTTGTACTTTATGATGAAATTTACAAAAAGAGAGAATGAGCTTCAAAGAGACGTTGGAAAAAGAAATGGCGTTATCAATAAAAATTTAGTCAACAGAATTGATTTGAAATAGTACTATTAACAGAAGAGAAGAATGTATGTATATCTTGCAAATAAATCAAAACAAAATCTATTCAAGCAACACATAATATGGAAGACAAAGTAATTTAAATAAAGCAGAAATAAAAATATATGTAGCATAGAAAAAAGGAAATGATAAACATAAACAATGAATTAAAATAATACCACTACTGATAAATGCATTGAATTTTAGTTAGCATTATTGTCACAAACTATCGATTTATTTAGTTGGCATTTTAGAAATTCAAGAATGTACAAAGAAAAAAAATATATATGGACATGAGATAACGTTTGAATATTAGGCAAAAGTTATAGCACATATATAAGATAACAAACATCTAGATTTATACATTATATTATCAATTTTTTTTCTCCATGAAAAATCTCACTATATATTTGTTCAAATCTCATATTCATAATAATAATACTTATTGTTACTATTATTTGACTAGAGTTGCTGTGTCCACCTGATAAGTGCTCAACAGAACAACTGGAAAATATTTTACATGTGTACGCCAAACTGGAGTGATTTGGAAAAATTTTAAATCGGTCCATTCAACTCCATCTATCCAAACTGCAAATGATGAAGGAAAACAATAACGAAACAGTTTTAGCTGATTTTAATTTCGCATAGCGGCAAAATAATGACACAAAGTTAGTTATATAATTATTTTGTGACTTAAACACGTTTATTCTGTTTTAACTAAGCAATCGATAATTCGATAAAAAAATTCAATACCAATACTAATTACGTCAGAATGCACATAATAATAATTATAACAAAAGAAGATTAATTAAAACCAATACAATTAAACGATAACCAGCTCTCTCTGGAGCGTTCCTGGTGTTTTTGTCGGTCCTAATCTCGTTTAAAGGAGGGTTGGGAATAGGGTTAGCGATCCCATCACGAAGAAAACCAACTTGCTAAAAAGCTAACCAGAACAACTAATTTAAATTCTACCCTGAGAGTTGGAAGATCTCAATTTAGAAGAGTTGTGACGCCTCAGAATGGAAGCCAAGTTTCTTCGGAAGTCACGAGGCCAATGCCCAGAGCAATAAGTAATATAGGTAAGTACATAGAAACTGAATACCATAATTTACATGGTACACACGAAGTTATATAAAAATTGATGAACTGAATAGTTAGACACACATTGGAATTTCATAATATATTAAACTTTATGATTATATGGTTATATATTAAAAGTTCAACAAATAATTTACTATGAACACCAGTAAGATGAATGAAAGTAAGAATGGTTTTCAACAATTTTAATAACTCAAATTTGTTCAGATAATAAACTCTCTATTTTTAACTGAACAATCTATTCCTACTATTTAATTAAGAAATGAATAAATCACGCATAAACTGATCTGTATTGTAGAAAATTATATCAAGGGCAAGGAAAATTGGAATTTCTATGTTAATTTATTCAAATACTATCTTATACATTTTATTCTATAATTATAACAATAAAAGAAAAATAACTAACCTCGCATCATATGATTATTGTTTCCAGTAATACCTGAAAAACCAGAACCACTAGCAGTACCACCAGTCAATGCCAAGCCTAATGCGGATATTGTATTTGAAGTTTTATAATCTGAAGAGGATAGAACATTCGAATCGGTTATTAAACCAGCTGATGAAGAATGATGATGATGATGACTGGATTCTGTATCTTTCGAACGTTCAGCACTCTGAGTTGAACTGGTATTATGCAAATTACAACATCGTCCAGTACATAAAAGACGTTGAATACCACTAATCAACTCATAACGACAATTAAATTCTTTACCTTTACGACCAATAAGCATAACTAAAATTTCAGAAAAAATCAAGAAACACAATGAAAATTGATTGAATTTTATTGAATGAAAATAAATTCTGTTTGCATCATTAGTAAGAAAAGAAAAATTGAAATAAAACTTAACAAAACAATAATACGTTTTTTTTTTTTAGAAAAAAGACATTTTTATTTCGCAGAATTTCAATAGTTTCATTCATAAAATACTAAAACTTAAAACTGTCACAGTTCCCATTGTTAAAGTAAGCTTATTTGAAGAAGTTGGACAACTCACACTGATTTTAAGTATTAAACAAACTTTGAAATGACAAAGTTTCATTTTGATATGCTTGAAACTATTACGAGTTCACCTTACTCGGTAAACTGAGCCAAGACAAACGATGCAGTGACAAAATAGGCTATCCTAATCCGTTTTCCTCGGTCTGGCTAACTATATCACGAAGACTTGATAAAGCGTAGAAAGTGTATTCTACAAACATCCAAAAATACGAGGTTGACAAGCACACAAATCGAGCTTATTTATACATGATAGAAACATCCTTGGGAGAGCGACAAAAACAGCGTACTAAAATAATCCATCAACTAATTACAGTCAAGGACTTTCCGAGTGGGATACGTAATCTCAAGGCTGACTGAGTAGCTTATGCGCGAAAACGCAAAAAATCCAAAATCAGGACCATCTCCAAGTGAATTCTGGAGATCTAACGTCACCAACACATTTGCCGTGATTACAAATGACTACAACAATATAGAAAACTATTGAACAGTTGTAATAAATAGTTGATTAAACAGTCAGAATACCAAGTATCATAATACACGGCATAAAAAATGAACCACGGAGTTGCAATGTAATTAAGCGAATAACATAACAAGCACATTTAAAGTTTCCGATTTAAATGTCTTAACTCAAGCACTGAATATGTATCAAAACAAACCAGGTTTCTTGAAATATTTAAACATGTAGATTTCATAGTGAGGTGAATGGTATCTCTATGAACGGTTAGTATATTATTGATTGGTTTCAAGCTTATTTCTAACAACTTAGTTTATAAGAAAAAGAGAACTTATCATTGATAATATCAATTTAAGTAGAGATCATTAGTCGGTGCAAATATTGTTTTCTTACACAAAGATAGTAAACATGATTGAAATATAGATTAGAAGAAATTTCAGTTTATATAATAAACAAATATAGATAATTGATCCGTTAGTACATTTCTTATGGTCATCATTTGGTCACTTCTGATTGGCACACTATGTCGCCAATCATTTTCAAGTAAATATTGATGTGGCTTCGTGTCATTGCTGAAAACGTAGTAGGTAGAGTAGGGTTCAAACACGTGATGTTGTAGCCAAAATAAGAATCCTTCAGTCACTGATCTATCGCCTCGCATATTCATATACATTCAGTTTATTAAAAACAATTCTTGATTAATTTACAAATTTATTTTAAACTAAAAATACTGAATAAATTAACGCAACAATCAAGCGGAAACACTTAGTAGGAGTATAATCAAGAAGAGTAAAACCAACGTTTATGGTCATCATTAAAAGTGATAGGGAATTAGGTTGACTATAATTTGATGATTTTACAAAACTCTTCTACTTTACTAAAGACTACTACTAAATGAAAAAGAAAACTACCTGTAATTACGTTTGTACATCTTCAGAAAATGATAGTATTGAATATGTATACGGTTGGTTACATTTCAATTACCATAGTCAATGATATTTTAACCACAATGAGTTCAATGACATTAGATAAAGTTTAGTATAAATATTTATTAAGTTAAATGTTCACTGATTCACTTGACTAGTTTATCGATCTGCATTGTGTTAATCATTATATATTGTAATTGTAATATTCTCATTTCATCATACAGAATATGCACATCAATCAATGTATACAATTAATTTATTTCTATTGAATTTCAATTGTGTCAAAAAAAAATCAAAAAGGCAGATAAGATTAAACTAAATAAGAGGGGAAAAAGTATGCTTTATTTCCTTATGTTACTTATTGTCATGAACTCGTTGATTGGTCAATCTCTTAGTTATAGTTTTATAGATTTAGACATTCGAAATTAATTAATTTAGATCATTCGAAAGAAAAATACAAAGGAAGTTTGATGATTTGTAGATAGTCAATTAGTCAACTGTAATTATTAACCTAGTATATACATATATTTATCGTAGTAATGTGTAAACGCAATAAAAAAGTTTCATGGTCATTTGATTATCAATGTTACATCATGTTCAAAACGAACATTCAAATATTTATTGAAGTAAATCCAACATTGCTGCAAATGTACCGATTTTCTATTGATTACCAAGAAAAAAACACAACTTTCCTATCACTTAATATTTTGTTGCTTTCATTTTTATAGATTTGATTTTTTAGTACTTGGCCATCAAAGTTAATCAAGCAGGCTGTCGTCTTTTATTTATGTACTAATCGAAGACATTTTATGCTTTAGTAATTTTTTACTCTGTTAAATTATCAGTTATTTTTTTGGTCACTTTTGAGCAGAACGCGTTGTTTCGACAAGGATAGAGGAAGGCTAAGAAGAACATGAATAATCGCTGTTGCTTGGTCTTGACAGAATAGAAGCAAAGATTATCGCATTGTATAATACAAATTTTATAATATCAAGAATAGGATACAAAAGCTCAAAAGATGTTGATATACGATGAATGCGTCTGATAGACTTGAAAAATGTGTATATATTTTATCAAAATGTTTACGTTTTACTTTCCAATTGCTTAACACAAATTATTATATAGAGTATCAGGAAATAATTATTTCAAATGGAGAAAACACCTACTTTTTTGTTTCTTTTCTTTTGTCCACAATCCAAGAGCAAGATGTTGAGTATGTGTTTGATTCAAATTAAACTGTACATGACGAATTGGTGAACAGACTAAATTGTTAGAATGAGACTCTGCACCATCACTATTACGATGTAACGAAGATGACATGCAACCAGTTGTACTGACTGATGAATCAATCGTAACAACTAGACCAGGAGATATAGCTTTTACAGTAGAACGTCGTGGAGGTGATATAGGATCTGATGTTGTACTTGGTGGACTTGTAGGACAAGAAAGAACACTGTTATTATTGATATTATTAGAAAGAGCATTAGCGGATGACAAAGATGATGACATTGTAGTATTTTGACTATTTTGATTATTACCATTTAATGTTGTAGTCTGGTTAGGTATTGACCAGTACTCAATTTGTACATCCCAAAGTCGTTGATCAGAACCGAATATCGGTGACTGACCGCTTCTTTGAGCAGACGAATGTGATCTACATTTGACAAAACAATATTGGTACGTGGAATAGTTAATACGCGGTTGAACAAAAGTACATATTAATAGAAAAATTTATTGTTAGGATTTCATTAATGTGCATTATTAAGAAACGAATAGATTGCTGAGAAAAGAATTGTGATAAAAAAAACAGCAAAGCCAAACATAGTTAAGTCATGTTAAGGGATGAAAGCATAAGAGAAGATAATACTGGTTACACACAATAAAAAAACTGTATACACTAAAATACTGATTAAAAAGCAATGTGAAACGAAAGTTAGGCTGAATAAAAAAAATGTTATGTAATTAAACTTATTAATGATTGCAAAAACGAGTTAAAATGCTTTTAAAATACAACGATGGGGACGAGTCCCTATTATTCACTAAGTAATAACCAGTGTTAAGCATTCTTTATTCTCAGTGCTGATCTTATTGACTAGAAATCAAGTGTGCTAAGTGTTAATGTCCAATGACTGGTGTCAGTTAATAGGATTCTAGCTAGTTATATCTGCTGTAATATTTATGTGACAATGGTTCAGATCATGCTAAATGCATCAAATTATTTGAAGATTGCCTCAAATTTCGAGAACTATTGACCAAAGTCTTTTTGCGAAGATCTGAATCTACGGAACATACACGATTTTATGCAGAACATTCAAGCATGATGTAATAAGACATAATCCCTTACATTTAATCACTGGATACACACACCAATCACGATACATTTTGAAGCCATACTATTCATGAAAATTTGAATGAATCTATTCAATGTTTTGAACAGTGATAACCAAATATTAATCACAAGTTATTTGCTTTCAGCACTAACAAATTTATAACACAATCAATATAATATATGTGATAAATGATATGCCATTTGTCATTAGGAAAAACTTTGAAGATTAAGCGCACTTGAATAAAAACGATTACTTCATAGTTTAAACATATCATATCGTATAGAAAAGTTTAGTGTATGTTTTAAAAAAAAAGTTAACTAAATAGAAGAAATTATGCATTTATACACACTGTTCGTGTTAACATCATATATGATCAAGGCTTATCTCATACAATAACATTAACATAAGAAATTATTAATCCTATGCATATTAATCAATTAATGTTTTTTTGCCTTATATTATCAAGATCGTAGAAACTATTAAGAGAAAACCGTGCATGAAATGGCTGAAATTCAATCATCATGATGAATATGAATGTGAAAAGTTCAAAAAAATACCTCAATACTTTGGTGAAACAACGGAATGGACAGAATTAAATTTTTTTTTTCTTCAAGAAATATATATATCTTTTAGATGTTACCTACTAAAGAAGCAATAGTTTAATAGAATTTACAAACACAAAAAGCCATTAAGCATTCAGCTATTTCTAATAATATCGATGTAGTGCATACGGCTTAAATAAGATATGTACAAAGGGAATAATCTTGAGATTGCTTTCATACAAAATTTCAACATAAACACAAACATACGCACTTCGACCAATTTGTCAAATCACATTTTAACAATACAATCTATCGAAAGCCGATTTAAGAAATACACCGAAATTTCATTATTTTTGTCTATATACAAAGATCACTGCATAACACGTATAATAATCCAAAAAAAGCTCTATCAATCTTCGCGTAACAATACGGTGGCATTGTGTAATATGAATCTATTCCTGAAACTAGCTCCATTTCAATTCATTACTGTTACGCCAATCGGAATTCAGTCAAACGAAATCTGAAATATCAAAGGTAATAACCTTTGTTTAAATAGATAATAATCAACAATTGAAAAGCTGTAATAAAAAAAGCATTTCTTAGAGTTTGTTTGTGATTCTGAATTGGTTAAATGAAGTTAAATACAGTATTTAGACCTCACAGTGAATGCCATTTATTACTGTACCTTGATGAAAAGCCTTGAGTAATTAAATGGCCATCAAATGAACTATTATATATTGAGAATAATAACTGTGAATTGAAGCGATATATATGACCTTAATTGTTTTATTAAAACAGAAATTTATGTATATTTACGTAATTTTCTTAAGCGAAAAAACCAATGGATTATTCAGTAAAATATCCAGACTTTCATAACATTGATTAGTTCAACATTTCGATGAGACTCAACAATCTTCACAACAGTACAGTAACAATTATCATGTGCTCACAAGTAACTAGATTCGTGAGTAAATTCTAGGATTTCTAATGAGAAGCCGTGATTAACGGAGTTCAATCGTGTCAGGAGTGAGGCAGTTACACAACGAAGACAACGCTGATGGTCGGGCAATAAGATGGGTTGGTTGAAGTTAGACATTAATACAGTTAGATGTCAACCCAGTAGTTTAGAGGTTAAGCGTTCGCGTGTGAGGTTGCTGCGAGCAAAGGTCGTGGATGCATACTTCTAATACGTCCCATACTAGGACGATACGGTCTTCCAGTGCTTTAAGGTTTCCATCGGTAGACTAAGACCGACCAGTCTATGATTTTGCTAAAATTAAACAATCCCTACAACCCTATACTGACTTCCATAGATATCTGAGCGAGAGAGTATGTCAATATGTGTCACAATAACTGATACGAATAGAATTTAAATGTATACAATACATATATATTTCATATATAAATGAAAATATTAAAAACACATTATACTCTAAACAAAACGACAAGCATAAAAGCAAAGATATTAAATAAATAACTGATTTATCAGACTAAAACTTAATCAAAAAGACGCAAACACATATGAACACAATCATTTCTTTCCATATTCCGTGACTAAGTCAACAATAATATACAATGTAGATATTACAGCAAAATTAGACGTAAACATTTGATTTTATAAGTTTTTGAATTTGCACTTTATTAATCAACAGAATGAACTAATCAGTTAGTTTCAAAACAAGAATCAAAGTTTAGCGCTTGAAACATTTGATTTTCACCTAGTAATTTACACATTCAACATGTCCTTACACGCATATACTCTTTTTGGTTTGAGTCATCGGAGTACCGATGACATAATATACTGAACAAATAGGCTACATCAAAAGTTAGTTTTTAAAAACTTAATTTGAGACTATCTTAACCAGAGTTTTAAAATGATACACAATGTGGTTAATAGAAAATTAATCACTAATATGATGTTTATTATTCAGTGTCAGCCATATTCTATCAATCAAATAGCCTTCAGTTAAATGATTTGAAATTAATTAAATCTTTATTTTATGATTGGAAATAATAGTCATTAAGGTGCAGCCCATAATAAATTCAAACGTCGACAACAAAACCATGCCAATCATGAATGCAGTTATTTTTCTAGTGATCAGCTCAAAACCCTAGTGAATCAATGTTTTCCTATCAATTCACTTTAACTAGTTTAAGAAGATTAATAAATTTGCCATAGGACATATTGAAAAAACTTCACTTATTATTATCGGGTCATTCGCGGAAATAAAAATCCTAACAGAAACATATTATATAATTCATGTTTACAAAAATAATGGTACAATTTTCATATTGTCATTATGAGATTGTGGAGAGATTGTTGAATATCATTAAAATCTTGAACGAATCACAGTTAGATGACCATAGAAAACTTGGATGTGAGCTAGTAAAAAGCCTTATAGTATAATGAAATGTCTGTTTAATAGTGATAGGGGTTTGTGATCTCTGATGATATTTCAATATTCAAATAAGAATGTTTGTTTATGCAAGAAGGCATAAAAATTTTCACCTTGATAAATATTTTCGAACTAACACAATACAACTCCAAAATACAAAAGAGAATTATCACGTTTTTTTTCTAAAAAAAACCATAGCTAAAATTGTATGCCATGAATACAACGATGAAAAGTCAATTAATGTGTTAATATGAAACTGACCGAATTATCTCTATGAGGATATATAATGTAGAACAATAAGGTGATAATTGTTTTGTACTTTTGACAAGTTTAGAAATTGATTAACAGATTAAATTATAGATTTTTTGATGATTATTTTAGTCTTTTATAACCTATTTGTTCAATCGTACGAGTATGAAATTTTATACAAATAATAAAAATATAAATAATCAAGTCATTTTAAACAATCTATACATGTACACATGATACGTAAATTTCTCACATTCATCGTCATCAATATAAACTGTTTAATTTATGTTCTCTATAGTTTGAAAATAATAATAATAATAGATTGCATCTAACGAAAATAAACAAGAAAAGGACAACTTAATGGTTAAGATCATATTACTGAAAATGTCGTATGTAAAAATTTGAATTAAACTGATTATTAAAACAAAGTATTAGATAAATGGAATATATATATATATATATATATGAAAGTTAGCTACCATCAATGAAGGAACAAAGAGTTTGTTAACTTTATAAGATAAGCATTGTGTAAATTTATATGTATATGTATACTGTTTGTGTTGATTTTTAATTGTTCAGCGAAATGAAATAAAAAAGAAAAGCTTAACACAACAGTGCAATGTATGCTGGTTAGGGGAAAAATAGTATTGATTATTTTCGTATACAGTAGTATTATAGAATGTCAATGTTAAATATATATATATATATATATACCCGCTTAGTATATCAGATAAATGTGTCATAGCAGCAGAAGTAGACGTGGAAATTCTAAAACTACTATTACTGTTATTAGTTTTAAGAGATCCATTGGTCCATGAAGATTTTCGTATAAGTAGTTTTTTAGATGAACGTAATGATAATGAAAAATTTCGATGTATTCTAGTCATTGTAGACAATAAAAATGAAGAAGAAAACAAGAAAAAAAAAGAAAACACATAACAGCAATACAATGATTAGAAAACAATATGAATATTTGATAAGCGACAATTTTAAAAAAATGGTCAGAATGAAATGAAATAAAAATCAACAAGGAGAACTGAATGATAACTGGCAATAACTAAGGATTGATCCTTTATTAGAAGACGTGTATGCATATGAGAACTAGAATTTCTCAATATCTTTCAGTTTGATTCAGCTCAATAATTATTTTAATTATGTATGGATATTTGGAGCCCAACCCAATGCCAGTTAAAAATCATATTTCAAGCTGCATCATACAGTGAAAAATCAATTCCAGCTGAGTTGTGACACTTTTTTTAGTGAATGTCATGAAGTTATAACAAGTGGCAGTAGAAATGAAATATTTACTGGAAATCGGTTTTTTTTAAAAAGCCCATATACTCATTGTTATTATAGAAATAGAAATATTATAACCAAATATACAAATTTTTTTTAGAATTTTAAACACTGAACATGAAATGTAGAACGTGACATGAACAATTCATTTCAGATTAATCAGATTAACAACATATGACACTGTTGTTTTTGGTATCAGTTTTCTTTAGATTGTAATTTTTTGGAGAAAAAAAAACAAATGGTAATCCAATGCAGATAAATATTATTCAAAATAGATTTAATAATATTTTCGAATAAGAAAAGCTAGTCAGTTTTTAACAACGATAATTGTTAATAGACACATTGAACTGAGTGTACAGGAATCAACGAAAAAGTGAACCAAAATAAAAGTCAATAAAATTGTCGTTCAAACATGCATTTATTTAATACTTAAATAATAGTAATTATTGGCACAAGTGTCCTACAGGAATAGATATCCGGTGAAAAAAAAGAACAGTTGTAATACAATATACTCTTAATGAGATTGTATTTTATGAACTGAATCGTTTGACTGATATTAATTACAACAGACAAGTTGCTAATCTGGTATGGCAACTTGAACCAGTGTACCTATATACGAAGTTCTACGTTGTAACTGACTGACTGACTTACAAGAAGACATATGGAGAGAATTGACATCAACCATATGATTATAAATGTATATATAATTTTCCTGAAATAAACTGATTTCATGGTCGTTCGACAATTCATTAAGAATCGAATTGCAAGAAACATTACACTGATCAATGTTTTCATCTAAGTAATTAAATGTCCCTGTTTACTTTTCTTCCTTTAGATGTGTAATATCTTTACGTCTTCAGATTCACTGTTGTCAATTATGATTTTTAAGGACTTTGTTTCCGGTCTATTGTACAAGAATTTCTTTTTACATTGAACAATATAAAGGTTAGTTAGTTAAATTCTTTGAGAAAGATATTTATGAGAGAAAAAAATGTTTGCATTTAAACTTTTAATGTCAAGGTATTGGTATTCCGTACCTGTATGAATGATTCCCTTTTTCTTTTAAAAAAAAAGGAAGTAACAATCTAATGAAAAGTTCAGTCAATGTTAGAAAAAGTACTAGAAATAAAGAGGTGAATCGCAATCAAATAAATTTGATTTGTTCCTATGGATCAGAAAATCAGATTTTCATTAGGATGGAAAAAAAACTAGAGAAAAGAAAGTCCCAAATCAATATATATATATATATATATATATATATATATATATTCGATGGCCTTAGTGCAGACAAAGTAAACAATGGTTGAATGTGAATAGATCTCGATCGAAATAGTGTAAAGAGGGGAGGATGGGAAAAAACCAATAAAATAGCAAATAATCCATTATATTTAAATTATTGTTTCCAACGGAATGATTTTCAAAATGAAAATAGCATAAAATAATAATATGTGAAAAGAAAACAGGAAAATATGACAGCAAAATAAGAAAAGAAATAATTATTGATTCATACAAGAGTATAACATGAATGTTATACATTGTATAATCAATATTAATTCATCATCATCTTATCCACGGAATATTTCATTTACTGGATCAGCTAACTGAATTTCGCAAAACTATGTTTTATATAAACTAACCAACTTTCAAAGAAACAGCAAATTGAAGAACTCAAAAAAAAAATACAGTTTTTTTCGATGAAACTTGTCAGCAAATGAAAACATTCATTTGCATTGGTTGTTTTACTCATACTATTGAGATTCAGAACTCCACCTGTAGACCTTTCGGGACTAGTGCCGGTCCCAAGCTCCGATAAAGGAGGGGGGTTGAGATGTGGTTTGGCAGCCTCATCCAGCAAAAAACTAACTTGCCAAAAAAACACTAACAAGAAATAATAATTCAAACCATATAAACTCTGCTCTGGAAGTTAGGTCTTTATTTAGAAGAATTAACACGTCTCATGATGAAAGCCAAGTTCCTTCGGAAGTCATGTCCCTTCTACGAACCAGAACAAACATCTGACAACCAGAACCTTTCCACGGTGTGGGCAGCCGGTAAGTTACATCCGCGCTCATACCCATAACAGCGCACGAGACCAAGTTGGTCACAAACAATCCCTTTCTCTCTGTGCTTATATGGTATGGTAACATGAGCTGATGTACGTACGTACGAAGTTCTACGTTGCTAATGATAGATTAAATGATTGAGAGTTAGAATTGTGATTAAGCAGCCTCTTTTAGTATACATGCATTCCATGTGGATCACCTCCATAAAGCCATTGTGGTACACGTCAGTAAAGAATAAACGAAGTGCGGCTAGCAATGGAATCATGGAAACGCGTTTCGTTCCATCTGGGACTCGAAACCATTACCCTTCATTACACACACCATCACGTTGTCCGTTTAGCTACTAAATTCACACAGTCACTGGCTTATGTAATATGATGAAGTTTAATTTATTTATATTGATTGCTTAAATTTCCCTATTGATGTTTAGGACAGCAATTGACAGGATGAAAAGCATGTTGTGTATTCCATTGCTAGCTACCATCCATCATTGCACAAAACGAAATTGTCATAACAAACAGATCAGTAGTTCGTTTTAATAACAGTCCGTATAAACGATAGATAGATAGAGCATTCTGAGGTATTATCTAATGGACCTGGTAACTTACTATTTATCAAAAGCATGAATAGGAGATTTGTATCGAGTAATTGGAAACTGACCTAATGAATTTATCGAATTCTGTTTACTAAGTAATTTCGAAATGGTCTCTATCCTAATGAATAAAGTAATTGACCGAGTTGTAACAAAGTAAACGAAAGCTTCTTGTAGTTCTGTTTATCTTTTTTATCGTGGGAATGAGTGAATATGTATATGCATGAAATTCACAATGAAATAATGCGTTATGTAAAACTTATTCTATTGGAGTAGATGTATTTAATTTTTTGTAATCTTTAATACGGTGTAAAGTAGTAGTCGAATAATTTGACTATTACTTTTTTAGAACACATATAAATAAATTATCTAGAAAAAAGTACTACATTTCAAATTGAAAACTAAGTGTAATAATGATTAAAAAAATTTAAATAATTACAAAAACTAACAACAATATTTATATCATCTTAGTAATCATTACCATAATCTCTTGCCATACAGGTTTATTTAATACAAGCAAACAATAGAATATAATGAATGAGAATATAAAATGAATAAAATCATACATTACCGTGGTGCTGTGATTGTATTATGTGAACCTGATTCAGGACTAATATTACGCTTAGTATAAGATTGTTCTGGATCACTAGGTGTTTTACAATCTAAATCAGCAACATTTGTATTAGCTACTGTAGATGTATTGAACGATTGAGGAGAAGAGGATGAATCAACAGTGAATGATCGACTAGACTGTTGTTGTTGTTGGTGGTGGTGAGGTTTAATTTGTATTGGAACAGTTGTTAGTAAGCCAGGATAAGTTAATGTTGAACAATTTCCAAGACGAACATTTAAAATGAATGGGATAACCATTTCTTCATTTTGATTACTATTATTATTATTACTACTACTACTACCTAAAGGATATAAAAATAAACAGAAATATAGTATTTTTACTCAGAAAACAATTTTATTTAAAATTATATAATTCATAGAATAAAGGTATTAAGTAAACTTGTGTACATTATATATATATATATATATATATATATATATATATATATATATATCGATCACCAAGTGTTAGTGACTTTACAATTGACAACAGTTCATATAAAATATAATGCATACACCAAAGGAAATAATTATTTCTTTACTGAATTATGCTTTCAGAAATAACGTTCAATTAAATCAAATTAAATAAACATATATTAATCGATGATAAGCAATCACAAAATAAATCATTCATGATTGAAAGAAATATCTATTCAACAAGCATCAATAATTACAATGATGAATAGAATGTATCATGTACGTTTAAATCGATCAGGCTATCTTACTTTCCGATTTGAACATTACTATGCCACTTAATCAAGTTAACTTCATTTACATACGTTTCAGGATAAGCAATTTGGTGAGACGACTATGCAGCCTCATTTTGATATATGAAATTTAGGACCAATTGATGATATATTTTTCTTCTATCCAACTGATCTATATACTTATGAAACAACTGCAAGTGTGAATTTACAGCTTAACTAAATGATTTTGTCGAAAAGAAAATGTTTGCTGAATTCTCCTTTGTTTGTATTCAATGAAACTACATTCATTTCATACATTATCAACTAATTAGAGTTAAAATAGAAATTGAAAAACTAACTAGTTACAAGAAATTAGCCCCTGTAAGAAAAGTTTTTATTTTCAATACATAATGAATAAAATAATGCTCTTTCTTTCGATCATTCAGTAATCTACGTTTAGGAAGTGTTGTTTTTACAATATGAATGAGTTTTATGCTTTCAATGAATTACTGTTACGATTGTAAGGAACAACTACAATCCCGTCTTTGAAAATATTTATGTAAAGTAATAGATTTGTTAGTCAATTATCAATTTCGTTCGGCTGTAAGCGACAACAATTCAAATGACTTCTAATAAAGTTTATTTTCGAGATAATTACTTGGTAATCAAATTATTTTGATAACAGCTTATTCAGTGATATCAGTCAATAACTCGGTGGAATTTAAATAAACGAAGGTATTCACAATTTCGTGCGGTGGCCAAATCAAAACATGGCACAAAACCATGAAGTCATTGACAACTGGACTGAGTCATGTTAGTAGGGATAGCCTGTCTGGTTGGGATGTACAAGATAATCGTAACCAGTGGTTAGAGACTTTGAATCAGATGGGAAAAACAGTCCAAATCTTATGATCATGTTCTTCACTTATGAAATATAAAGCCCTTGCCCTGAAAAAGAGAAATCTATTACAATAAAAAAAACAAACAATACGATTGATTGACTGATTATCAAATTAATCAAACTTTACCTGGACAAGAAATCCCATCTGAATAATAAGAATTTTGGTCTGTTATCCCTTGAACTAATTGATTTGGATTATTTATATTAGTTGAAGATGAATTTGACATTGTTGTAGTAGTACAATCTGTAGTTAGAGATTTTTGTATTTTATTTACATTAGTTGAAGTATTTTTTGATGAACCAAGAAGACATGATCCAATAGGAAATGTATGAACAGTTTGACCATTTGTTAAATATCTCACAATACGATTAATTAATTCAAATCGAATAACTAACAAATTTACATTATCCATTGTAGAATCAACATCAATAGAAGTAGATTCATGACATAATTCTGAAAATAAAGCTCCATAAATTGGATCAATTTGACAAAGATGATAAGTAAACAGATTGTTAAAATAACTTGATCCACGAATCGATGGTAGTGAATTGCGATCGGAATTGGCTGTATAAGAAATACATGAGAAAAACAAGTAGTGATTTATTTTCTAAATCAAGAAAAAACTAACAAACAAGAGAATAATGAAATTAAGAGAAAAAAAACTCAATCATTAAAGATCAACAATAGATTATATTGAGAATTACTTACAATCATTCAGATTAGGATGATTCAATCCAGTGTTACTTGATGCATCTGTTGCAAGCTGTTGTTGTTGTTGTTGTTGACAATCGATTTCTGAGATTCGATTAGTTTTGATGACATTGTTTCGACTTTTATGTTGTAATGCTGATGAATTATGCAAACACTTAGTTAATCCATCAATCGGTATAATGAAAAATCGAAATGTGGTCATCAATTCTGTAGATCTACAACTCAACTGATCAACATAAGCGCGTAAAACAAGATTGATTAATAAATTTCCACCAAGTATACAAATTTTAATATAATCACCATCTGATATACGTCGTGTGTAACTTTGTGCTTCATTAGCTAAACGTGTGAAAATTGTACGCATTTCATTCAGGGAATTTACATTAAACAAACGTAGATTTAATTCAGATAGCAGGCTAAATACAAGCTGTAATATTAAAAGAAAAATAATTGAAAAACATAATTAGCAAGATATTAGTAGGATAGAGGATTAATAGAACTTTTTTTTAACTTGTAGTTCACATCACGAACTGATTTTAAAGCTAAGTAACCATTGAAAGCCAGGAAGTAATAGATATCTGTTTTGTAATAGTACAAGACACCTTCACATTTCATATATACGAGCTCTATATAGATTACGACCAGGATCTTCGCCAATCGATTATAGGTATTAAACATGAACAATCTGGCGCTAAAATAGTTATCTAAAGATTAAGGGCTTCGTGAGAAACCTGAAAAACAGCTTTAACCCTTAGAAAGATTTTTTCTGTGCACTGCTGAGAAGTATCCTATAAGAACGAAACAGTCGTCCATTCCTTCTTGATTTTCGATAGTTATCTTGCTAAAATTTGACTGTGGCGTGAACTATAAAAATGTACATTATAATGTGAACGAATAATTATACTTACATTATTATTAACATATAACAAATAAACAATTTTAAAAAAAGAATCTTAAGAAAATAAGGGAAAAATATCATAAAATCGATGAATAAATGAACACGATTAATACACACTAATCGATAGAGTCACTTAAGAAAATTATCAAGAAAGATTTATTTGAGTCACATAGGTCCATAGGCTTCAGCCAAAACCTAATAGTTTTAGAAAATATCAAACGACACTATGCAGATAATCTGTGAATTGTCTTAAAAAAAAAATAACAAATTCATGACCGGAAGTAAATCAATAATCATTCTGATTTTGAAACTTCCTAAGTACAACACTAAAAATCTCGTAATTTTTCATCAAGGAATATGAGCTGAATGTATTGAGGTACATAATTTGAAAAGAAAACCAATCTTATGATACGATAATGTGTTCTTTAGTAAAAACATAAAAACTACAATAACTTGAATAAGCTCATTAATTTGAATAAGATCATTAATTTTGTCATTATCATCACGGTCATAGAGTAGACCATTAAAAAAACATAAACACAAGCATAATGAAATATTTTGTACAACGAAAATAGCATACATTAATATTTTTTGTATATATGTGATGAGAATTTGAGTAAATTAGTCATTTGTATCAAAATATGTTTTGAAACATTTGAGTTGATAGTTTACCAACCAATATTCCATATTTTTTTCCAATTTCAATGATCAACAACATATTAGCCTAAATGAAACACATGTTATAGAGGTTATAACTATGAACATAGTTTTTTCATAGAATGTTGATAATTCATCTAACACTGTACAGTATCGGTGCCCAGACAATAATATCATAGCTCACATGCAAATAACTGCCAACTGAGAAAGTTATGCTCAATATGATCAATAATTATTTTCACAAATTACACTTGCGAATGTTTGATAAAATTCGTTCTTATTTTTAGATTGCGTCAAATTGCCTATTCTTTTATTTCCATTTTGTGTATTCCTTATTCTTTCTTTCATACAGCGACTCGCCTATGGTGGAAATTCTGTCCTATCTAAACAACATTAAGTCATTAATTAGTTGAGATTTGAACGTTAACACCATATGAGAGTTCTGAATCAGCCTTTCTGCAGGAGTACACTAAAGGCCAAGATGGCAAAGTACACTCTATTAAAAATTGATAACTGAATCTTAGTGCTTTTATATTCAGTAAACACGTACCAGTTAGATCAAACACAGGATAGGTTTCAAGTGTTCCTATAAAGTTTATCAATGATACTTTAATTTTACAGTTTCATCAACACCCAAGCAGATGGAGGAATTTCCTTTCACGAATTAAAGAGTACATAATGACCAATGATAATTTTATCTCCCACACCTCGCAAAAGCATTCATATTCTTGCTGTATGTAGTGGCTTACTCAAAAGGATAAACAAAAGGACGAAACAAATAGCGAGGAACTTCTTGATGACGTTTGTGCTAATGAGCCCCATGAATATCTTATTCAAATGGATTACAGATTCCCATTTATTGTTCGCATATTTTAAATGTTGAATTTGTTGTATTCGTAGATTGTTTGGGCGGTTCGTCATCCTTCCAAACTACAAGTTTATGTGTTTAACTTTTGGCCAAATGGTAACCTGAATCGAATTAGTTGAAACCCATTCCAAACCACAATTTATAATCGACAAGTGAACGTTTTAACAACTAAGGAATCACAGAGATGTACTTCGGTTTCTACAGAGTTGGTTATAAATAAAGATTAATTTTACAACCCAAGCTCGCAACATGCTTAATAAAAATTCTACTTAAATAGATAGTGTCTAAAATTCTAACAGTATGAGGCATAGATTATCTTATTCTAACCAGCGAAGAATAATTCTAGTGTTGTGTATAAAAGTAGAGATATGAACTTCATGAGAGAAATAAAAATGATTGAAAAGTATTCAAAAAAACACAAAACAAAGAAAGATCATATTATATGATCTTACCTTCCCAGATTTTTCGAAACTACCAACAATGAATGTGACATTTGCTAGTTTTTCCAGATTTGATGGATCAAGTTCTTCAGATGTCTAAAAAAGAGCAATAACAAGAATATCATATTGACAGAAAAACTCAGAAAGAAATCATTGAAATATCATGAACAATTCCTTTCCAGGTTTGTAATACGTTAATCTAAATGAAAAGGAGAAAGGCTATTGATTACTGCCAGAATACTGATCTAAAAATCAATGTGCAATAATTTCTGAAAACGAAACAAGTTAATGTAGCGAGAGTAATTATAAGATTACACATTTTGCAGTGTTATCATCCATTTATTTATTCCAGTATATTAATTTTTAAACACTTAAGTAATTCAGTAGTATTTTCGAGATCAAACAATTCGCTTTAACAAATCAATAATATTGCATAGCATATCTGATTCAGGATTAACATTGTCGTTCCTAAATGCATTAATAGGGTCAACAGTGAGGACAGTCCGCTCTCTCTCTCTTGCTCTCGAAATGCGCTTGTATGTTCATGCGTTCATAATCACTGCCCGGGAATTCCTGCTCACTGCCACCTCGTGGCGGCGGTACTATTTACGAAATTGAGAGGAGGAAAAATAAATACTCAATGCTTAAACCGGGTTGGTGGGTACAGAGGATCTATCTAAGTGACTTTGGAAACCTTGATTCCAAATCAATGGTGCATATAGAGGTTTCAGCATCTTGAGAGAGAAAATGATGTATGCACCTCTTGTTAGCCACCCGCTACCATGGGACTATATCTTCTGAGTTTTCTTCAATGCTTCACTTGCTTCACTTCAAACACTCATAATATATAAAAAGATCAGTTTTATTCGGTATCAAAGTATAAGGAAGATCAAATACTGTAAACTTTTTTATAGCTCATCATAGCAATAATGTGAGTTAAATATTTGCTGAGTATTATAGTTACACTGGAGTTGACATCTCACCGTTTCTTTATACAGTTACTACCACGTCCGAAACAAATGACTATGTTAATCAGACAGTTATAAAACTACAATATTTTGAAAAAAAATATACAGCGATCCAAACTGCAAGATTATACATGAATACAATCAGGTAAATTTAACGACTAGTTAGTAAAAAGAGAGTAATCGCTGTAAGCTTTTGAAAAAAAGAATTAACACCAAGAATAGAAATCAAATAAAACCGACTGAAACGGTATGGAAAAAATGTCAAAACTTTGATTTTCATAGGAATATAAAAAATCAATAAACCTGTACCACTGCGATCGATTCTAAAACATATCATCCCAGATTTTCAATCATACATAAAGGTTATTTTTATAGTAAATGACTATTTACTGTACATCCTATAAGTTTTTCTCAAGTCAATAGATGTGTTAACAATTACTTCCTACAAAAATATTATTATATTCTACCTTTATGAGAACAAAAATAATTATTATTTTCAAACTGGAGATAATAAATAGTCTTCCGATGATTTATCCTGAAATTCTCTAACTTATAGGTTATTTAAATTTTTTTTCGTTACATGGGTTCGTATATAAAGAAATGAATACACATTAGAACCTAAATTTGTTGCTTAGTTTATGTTATCTATGCACAAAGAATACTGTGAATGGATATGTATGTGAATAATTAATCGATATTTATAAGAATAAGAGTAGAAAAATTAGCCGATAATAAGGTAAAGTCGGATTCCTTAATTATTCTTCCCATTTATATTGATCGCATAAATCGAAATATCACGTTATTTATATGCTGTGATTAGATATAAGGAATCTATTGTGTGACGACTACTAAGATCAATGAATAATTTCTTGTCAGTTGAAATAAATTAGTATTGATTTAGAAAAGGAAATTAATTATTCTTACGCGTATTTTTCGAAACTCCTATAATGTATGTATATCCTTATAAAGAAATTTACTTGCTAAAAACGTGTATAGTGTTGGAATGGATTACTAAAAATTTTTCAATCACTGGGACAGCATACATTAATAGTGTATTCTCAAACGATTCAAATAGAATGACATTTATCAGAATTTGCCATTGAAAATACCAACTGATTCCAATTGACAGGGTAGAAAAACTTGGATTATCTAATGATGTGACTGTTTACTTAATTCAATGAAGTAACATTATCTGAGGATGACAAAGTTTTAGAACAAACAAAATGTGTGTGCGTGTATGTGCATGGTTACTTCATTGAAAACATGTCTAGCTTATTTTAGCCTGACTATAAATAATTAGTCGTTCTTCCTCGCCACCTTAACTTCGTCTCGCTTTACTTGTACGATTTTACTTTTCATGTCCGTCTGACTAAATGAATGCAAAAAATAAATTCATTCGCAAAACAGTAGTTGGCCTCTTATTACCGTCATCTCACAAACGGGATTCGCCTAAATAGGAAATACAGAGACTGAAGGAAAGATATATTTCAAAGTATACTCCAATCATCCATCCAAATTGGAATCAGATTGCTGGCCACTACAGCGGCATACCCTACATCGAATTTAAGAGAATGTGTTGAAAAGAAAAAATTCTCTGTTCATATACCTGTGTTTTAAGATGATGATGGTTAGAATATATCAACAACATAATAATCTTGAAATAAACAATAATAGAAAGCTGAAAATTAACTGATACACTAATTCACTACTATAGGCAGATATGATTAAGATCAAGGTCAAAAGGTTACTACTACCATCACAAAATGAAGTTAAAAATAAAAACATCATCAAAACCACGAATTAATGAAGTGAACAAAACCACCAGTATGATAATAACAATAATTGAATCGAAATAATATGAATAATAAAATCTACATAGCCAGTCTAAATTTATTAGGTTGAAAAAATCAAATCCAATTGTTACTATGAGATAATGAAAACATCATTGAAAAATAATGAGCACGATGATTTTTATTGCCAAATACATAAGAATAATGATTATAGCAACAAATATATCATTTACATTATGAATTGATTTATTCAAAAAGCACATATTACGTTAGAATTTTTAATGGACTAAATTAAAAACAATTCTCCTTAAAAGAGAGCTTGGGTTTTGTGATGTACAACTATTTCATGAGAAACTGTTTTCAAAGACTAAACACGAGACAAAAAGATTCAACAAAAAGTAAAAAAAATTCAGAAAAAATCTACCCCATTTATTAAAACACTTACATCAGAGGAATTTATTGAGGCTTCAAAAGACTTATTCTCACCATTTGTAAAATCTATGTAACTATTGATTGAAGTTTTCTCATGAATTCTCTTTGTATTATAAATTGAACCAATATTTCCATCGGAAATTCCTTTATCGCCTAAAATAAACGAACGACTGACCTCTGGAGTAGAACATAATGTCGGTGTTATTGCTTGAGAGAAATCTCCTGGAGAATTATATAAAGTGGAATAATCAAAAGCTGCATCTTGTCCACGAGATATAAGTGAAGAAGAAGGATCTAAGCCATCATTAGTTGGTGAGTGATCATCCGACGATTCCTTAATGAATAAACAGAAAGGAATGTGTAATTCAACAAATGGAGGAAAATTCGAAATACTAAAAAAAACTAAAAGACAAGAAGATAGTTACAAATACTTACACTTTCCATAGTAATATTTTCTACACATTGACTAACAGCTTCACATTCCTGGTTGTAGTTAGATTTAGTGGATCTAGGCATTCCAAAAATATGCTTTGAATTAGATCGTCGTCGAATATGTGCGAATCGTTTGGCAAAACGGCCACCAGCTAAACTCATCACACGACCGCTGCCTCGTTGAAGGCGGGAAGAATCAGTAGATTGTAAAGTACCTGAATCAGTAAATGCTGTCGGTGAAACTGGCAGTCCGGAAAATCTCTCCAATGATAGTAAGTTGGACTTGCCAGATTTCCCGAATGGATTTTGAAAGCTCACCGATTTACCAACTGATGCTAGCATGGATCGTAGTTGTATAGTATCCGGCGATGTGTCAATTTCACTTTGAGCTAGTAGCTCTCGTTGTAGGCGTTTTAACAATTTCGCTCCAGCGTCCTAAAAATGATGTTAAAAAAGACAGATGAATTAATTTACTATCTACAATATGTGTTTAAAGTAAGAAAAACATGAAAGGATGAAATAAAAATTCTTTACTTTGATCTGAATATATAATGCATTCTAGTTGTTGACATGAATGTTAATATGGCAGCAAGCATCAGCAGCTACATAGTAAATCTATAAGTCGAAAAGTTTTTTCTATTTAGTTTACATCAAAAATTAACACATGGAACTGAGCAAGCTTTTTCTTAATTAAAAAAAAACTTCGTAATAGTGTGCATTCGTAACATATGATGGAACTAAGAACTTACACACTTCGTGGTAAGCATCTTATCTTTAAACCATCGAGTTAGCGTTTATTAATTTACACTTCGAACTCTAGTCAACTCAGCATATTACGTCATCGATGATACATATCTCATGTCTGACACGTTGATGAGAATGGTTCAAACTTGGATTTTTAGTTATTTCCAATTAATATCTCCATGTGAACTGTTAAAAACACCGAAAACAATTGTATACTGGAACAAAGTGTTCAATAAAATAACACTTAATAACAAGAGCTGGATATAATCCAAACTATACTTAAAACCGAATGGCAGAAGAACTTTTCAAGTGTATGTATAAAACATATAAGAATATGTTTATAGTAGAGTTAAACATGAAAAATTACTGATAATGATAAAATCTATCGATACGATGATAAAAATAAAAGTTACGATGAGAATCACAAAAATGACAATATTGCATTATTCTTTCTTTTCATCAAACAAAATAAACTTCATATAAAACAAAAAAGAATTATTGAGTTGATAAATTTGTGGATATGAATGCAAAAAATAAGTCTTGTTATCCGAATGATAATTAAAAAGTCATAAAAAGGCTTCATTTTGAACATTGTATATATATTAGGTATAGGTATGTCACTTTTTACATTACCAAGAAAGAAATGTCATCTTATACAAAACTAGTGTGATTAATTATTTACAGAGGATACAGATTTTAGAATTTTGTAGTTAATTAAAAAGCGAAAAGTTATAAGAAAAAAAACTCATTTGAAATTATATTAATATGATGTTTAAACGAAGTATATTTTACAAGACAAGAAATTATACAATCCTTATATACTTAGAGGTATATATTGTACGCGATATTTTTTAAATCTGCCAGTACTCTGAAACAACAAATACTAACGAAGTGATATAATCTTCATTACAATGAACAAGTACGTATAAACTATGTCTAAAATAGAACTAGATTATAACTTGCTGTTGATATTTTGACTTAATTTTTGGTTGGTATGTGTACATTCTATGAGGTTTGCTTTGACATAGTCACTAGGACACAATTCAGTAAAGAGTAGATAGAATGTGGCTAGAGTGAACATCAACTCCGGCATGCAGACGTATTAAATTGATGAGTTTAAGATAGAATGAAAGTCGTGTTCTGTATTCTATCTATTTTATGCTAAGATGCATACCAGTATTTCTGTGAAGTTCACGAAATTGCTTCTATCCTTAACGAAAGATTTTTATATCCGTGTTGTAATTCCTTATTTTGTCGTTGCACCATGGAGATATCTATGCTTTAGAGATAGTTAGGATTGATTGTTCTACGATCTACACAATATTTTCCGAAACCATATTTTACAGAGCAAGCTGTTACGCAGTAGTAGAAAACCATATATGTGTTACTGATGTCATGAATAAGCTAAAAACTAACTGGAAGATCAGTATCCGCTCTAAGTATGTGCATACTTGTTATACATGTACGTCTATGCTTTTATTATCATAGTATGTACCAGAAAGTCAATACTGTATAATTTGAAATAAATCTAAGTGAGAGTAGAAGTTGTACACATAAACCATATAAAACTGTCTAATAAGATAAACATGTTTATTGACGATAAATTAATCAAATGGGTAATTAAAACTGAGAAATGAAGTGCCTAGATCAATAGAGTATCAGTACGATTTGAAATAAATAAGTAAATAAATACTGACATCAACTTTGTATTGGTTAGTTGAATGTCCTTGATTCAAGTGAGTGTGAAATGATAAAATTGCGATAACTTCAATCAATATAAGTTTGTATTGTTATTGTTATGATAAACAGTGGTATTATTATTATTATTACAGTTACATAAACATCAGTTAATCATAATGACAAAAGAGAATGAATTTATCAAATGATACCGACTTGGTTCGTCTGAATAAAGATTTTACATCAATCAGTAACATTTATTTATATCAACCTCATAGAAAATATGTAAAATGTGAATCAAATACGTCAAACATAATTATCTCAGCAAAATGAGACGAAAAGTGATGATTACTTAAAGTGACACATGTGAATAGATAATGCACTACGTAAACAAATACAAAATATCATTAGTTTGAACTAATTCAGTTTAGTTAGTCGAAAGTATTTTGTCATTGGGTTAGATGGTTTATGCTATGTACATAATTTGTGTAAACTATATAAACAACCTTCAATATCACATTGTTACTTATTTGATTTTTAATAATAGCCACACATACACACACTCAGAGGATACAGAACGCAAGAATGACAGTAATTGCAGAATACGATGAATTTACAGTATTCTGTAACTAGTGTTTTTGTTTGAATTAGATTTGGGAAGGGAACCAATCACACAATGTTGCCTAGATTCCAATTGACAGATTTTAAAAAAAAGATAATTCAGTCTCAGTTTGAGACTACTAGTAGTGGCTTATATCGCTTTTTTTCCAAAGAATTTTCAGCCAGCTTGTAGATCGTAGTAATACAAAGTTTGACAATTTATTTACAAGTTTATCCCGATAATGAAAGTGTTCATTAACTGGAGACATGTAACTTGATCGTAATAGTGCATAGCTTTTTAAACACCTGATCTAACTACTTTGCGATAAAATTACAAGCTTTGGTTTGTTTACTTTGTCATCAATAGAATGATGAATACTTACCATGTAAGCTTTATACTTGACAATATTTATCTTAAAGAAATCGCTTCATCAACTTATACAGTTGAATACAGAAGTTTATATAAGCATCCTCTGATGAATACACTGAATACATGACCCTTTAAGTGTTTTAATGTTAGTTATAGAAATTTGCACGTAATGACATTACTTTATTATCTACACATTAACACATATTTGTAAAATCTTTACATGAAGGAATTATTTTATTAAGTTCGAATTCCCTACTAAAATCTATTGTTGAAATATCCATGTTAATAGAGAACAAAACTAATCTAGTGTAAATAACACTGTAAAAACTTTTGATTCTACAACACAATGAAGAAAAATTCTATGAGAAAAATATAAAAAGGAAAATTAAGAAAAAAATTATAAGCCTAGTTGCTTAGGATTTCAAGTAGAAACGAAATAAAACTAATTTTTTGTTGTAAAAAGACGTACAACACAGGGTTTGAAACTTTATAATGTCGTGCACAAAACCTACTGAGGAATATTCAAACAGGGACGAAACACCTACCCAAGTGCTGATGTCGATTTATGATGAAAATGAAGTTTAAATTATATAAAGGAAACCATCATAAAATCATATCACTAAATAGGCTTAGAGTAGGGGTTTACATAAATCCAATTATATGTATAAATTTCAATTAACTTACAGCACTCAATGTATCATCAGAGCTACCGGCTGTAGCAAAAAATGGTCGAAGTGTTGGTCGTGGTGTACTCTGTATCGAAACCAAATTAATACTTTCCGCATCGGAATCCTCTTCAATATCACTAGCTGTTGCTATACGATCAATTTCATCCCACAATTTCGATGTTGTAGCCACATCTAAATCAACCTAAAATGTTTAAGATATCATGATTGTATGGTTTTGTTTTTGACGGGAAAGAAATTTAAACACAAATGAAGAAAAAAAACATACACATGAGAATGTATTTGTTTTTTGTTTTTTTTTTTAAAGTAATTCATATACAACTGGACAAAGTAATGTCAATTTCATTATGCTTGTTTATACTTCAATAATATTTGAAAGTTATTATTCTAATTCATTTTTTTAGAATAAAAATCTCTAGTTATTAGCTATTTAAGTAAGAATATATGCTTGGTCACTTTCCGACAAAAATGTTATAAACAACAACAAAAATTCCCTAACATTATTTAGCCTAACATATAAAGCATTAAACTAGTAAAGAATAACATTTGTACTAATTCATTCGGATATATATATATATATATATATATATATATACATTGAAATTCTAAAAAGAGATGGAAATTACAATAATTATAAAATTAGTTGTGTCATTTAATTTCCTTTATAATATAATACTAGTAGTATATACAATTTTACAAATTGGTTATGTAGCAAATTTTGCATAATAGAAGAATGATTACGGTCAAGGCCAAATCATTTCATCACGTAAAACAACAGTGTACATAACCACCATAAAACTCGATAAAAAAAAAGATAAAAACGAAAACTAAGTTATTGTTTAGAAACACTCAGTTGACTTTGTAAAGTTTATTTTATGAACATATGTGAAAGCACAAAAATAGGCACTTTGTATCTTAATTATCGAAAACAAACGATGATCTTAAATGGCTTGTTTGTTTGTTTGAAGTAATAAGGTCAGAAATGTCTACGATTACAAGAAATCCTAAATGTGAAAATGAATACCTTGAATACCTGAATCCCAAAACTAACTACACATTGTTATCCCATTTTACAAACGAATAGTAAAACAAAAGTTATGATATCAAAAAATTACTAAATGTTCACTAACTACCATAAACAAAGGTGATAGGATTTGATGATACGGACTTAGCATTATCCGAAACAGTGTAAATGCATGAACTCTTTGTCTTTCCTTACCTTCTTATTTACCTAATCGTTTCTATTATTATTATTATTATTATAAATGACACTGTTACTACTTTTACAACTTTAAGATTGATCTAGATTATTTTATCTTGTTATGATGTAGTGTAGCAATTGAAGCATTTGCGTGTGTTAAGTTGTACGTTGTATATAAATGAAAGACTGAACTAACAGGTGAAAATAAAATAATTTCCCTACATAAGATAGTTCAACTGAAGGTATGTGAAAGTTAGTGAGAAATCTGTTATAAAGGATAAGACTTATTATTGATGCATTGATTATACTGGGAATAATCAGCGCCAATTTTAAACTTTTTTGGGTAAGCAATACCACAATAAAATTTGTGTCAGTAAGCCAGAATACCTCCTGATTAAAGTTATACATAAAATTGTAATGTTAACTTGTATATAAACAATACATGAAAAAAGACGTTAAAAAATATATATATATTAATAGTGATTCATCATCAGTATGTAGACAGATCTAAAATAAGAACCTCCGATATACTAAGCAGACTGTACGAAACAAGTGAACGATTTATTTGTACAAAATTATTTGAGATTTCCCTGCATCAGGAATTAATTTATAACAACTTCATGCAGAGCTGAATCATTGTCAATCCCCATATACAATGAGGAAAAGCAATCATTATACTGTTTGACATCATGAATGCCTTTCATTCGTCATATGAATTTTTGCTTTGGAAATATTCACCAAAAAGGACTGGTGTTTCGGAGATCACATTACATAAAGAGCTAGCACTAAAACAAGGTAACCACGCCGTCGATGATATTTAGGAGACAGAAGTGGTAGCGGAGACTAATTGCTTTAAATGACGTATAAACTTTACACGTACGCAGGTGATATCATTTGATTAGTTGATGAGTTCGGGAGTTGACTGTCAGCATTCATCAGCATAGGAAACACATTTGAAAAGAAAAATCTAGAGTAATTCAACAAAAACTATCAGACCTAGATTTTACAAGCCATTAAAAATACAGATGTTCGAGACCTATAGCCGAACCACAATAGATCACGAATACACAGCGACAGTCATTCAGTCAGTCAGTTACAACGTAGAACTTCGTACGTACGTACATCAGTTCAGGTTGCCATACTACATTAGCAAAGAGACGCAATTGTCAATTCAAATCCCATAGTGGTAGAGATAGTAGAAGTGTTAGCAGTAATCAAAAAGATTAGGGTTCGAATATGTCACTCGAGAAGTAGAATCTAGTAAAATAAACTTAAAAGTAGAAGATAGAGGTAATGAAGAATTCAGAGAACACAAAGAATAGATGCACCTGCTCCATTGCAAATGAGTTTGAGCCATGTTATTTAAGGTCTCTAACCATCGGTTACTATCGTCCCGCGGACCCCAACCGGCTAGTCTACATATACCAACATGACTCAGTCCACTTCTCAGTGACTTCATAAATTTGTGCCATGTTTTGATCTGGCTTGTTTAGTGTTATTTTCCGTTCTAGCAGTCTATTAATTAACGTCAATTTTAATGAATGCTTTTTCATCTTCCAATCAAATAAACATGAATAACTGTTTAAGGAATTAATTGATAAAGTTTCATATTTGTTCACAGTTTAATTTTCTCGTGTGTAAAATGTCTTCAGTGTAAACCGATATAATATTTCAAACTGCAGTACAAAATGAAGAAAATATGTGCGCACATACTATCAATAATTTATTGAATGATTATTCAAACCTGAACGAATTATATAATGTTAGACATAAGTAAATTTATAATAAATGTCAAAGACAGGTTCTAGAAAATCTAGTTTGGATATACATACATACGCATAAAACTACATAGTATAGCACGTAAAAGGATTAATAATCGATTAAACTTTGCACACGGACACAATTAAATAAAATTCCTAGTATTTCTAAGCATACATACACATAGAGAGATAAAAGTACTGTTCTATTTGTCATAAGTAAACTATACAACAAACATGATCAGTTACAAATAAAAAGGTAATCATATTTTTTTCTTCCTTTTGATCATACTATTCACACTTGCTTAGAAGGAATATCAATAAACGGAATGTGATTGTAACTCTCATATTGACTAATAAATAATAATAATAATAAGTAAATCCATACATTGAAAATATCTACAGTTAATGAATTTGACAAATAAAATATTTCAAGTTTATTATTCAAAGTGTAACTGGTTACTCCTAAATGAATAAATTAACGAAAATGAAGTAATTTCATGTAATCAAAACAATCCTTATTATAAAATTCATTGACTTACCTCATTAGGATCACTAATTTTTAATTTTTTCAGTAAACCAATTAATTTCTGTTTAATTTGTTTTTGCTAAAAAAATTTTAAATGAAACATTGAACACATCAAATGAATAGGTATTTTAACGACGCATATTTGATTCATATTTTCATAAAATTTATTTTAACCACCGATATGAGTGTTTACATGTACAACTGAAGCACAGGATATGCTTGAAGATTTACTTACTATTCCCTAACTGTAAATATGAAAATTATACCTCATTACAGACAGTTGTTAAATTGAACTTCTCATGGGATAGCCAAATATAAGGTAGGCTATATGTAACACATTTTTCTCAAAACTCACAAGTCTGTGTTGATGACTTGCGAATATAAAAATTTCGATTAAAATAGTAAACTACCTTTTATAGGTAGAAATGTAAAAAAAAATGTGAATATGTGACTGTTCGATTCAACGGCTTGATAGTAATTTATCCTACACGTTTGATTCCATGTAGGATGGATGTTCACTTCCAATAGATCAGTGATTAGAACAAAACAGTTGTTTTAAAAACTATAGTAGGATTATATAAACCATCATAAGTCCTTTGAATAAAGAAATATCCATAAACATCAACACAGTAAACTATTACGTCATTCACAGTCCATCATTATCTTAGAATATTCAGTAAGCATATTTTATCTAGATAAAATTGTCTGATAATTTTTGTTAGATAATTTTGTCAATTCAAAACCAGTACATTTAATAATTAAATTAACATCTAAAATGAGAAATTTAACATTTTAGATAAACAATAAAAAAACAAACAAAATGAACACAGTTTGAACATACAGCACAAAAGCACAATGCTCAATAAAACTACACACATACATACAAGAGAAATGTTAGGCATAGTAAAAATTGTAATTTTTAGTGAAGAATAAGTTCAAATAGTTTTAACTATAAATCTTAAAAGAAAAACAACCTTATTATAATAGCGAATTAATAGGAGCAAGACAACTACAAAAACATTGAACTAAAAATAGAAATTTTTACAATGTTTTATCAATGTAAATTTCAATCGAATTTTTGAAACAATTTTATGTATGGATAATGTTACCATATGAAACAGAAATCAAAATGGTATCCCCTCTATTCAGAAGCTCAGTATTTACACTGATGAATCATAGCGTGTAAAAAAAAATTAACAAACATAGTAAGCATTCTCACAGAAAAGATCAACTTCATCTCTTATTTTTAACAGAACAAAGTAAAGTCACCATATTTGTTCCGTTGGTACATGTAAGCCCACACAAAAAACTTATTTTTAAATTTATGACATAAATATACAATGATCAATATAGTTAGGCATTACTATTTAAGTTAATATACTCAAAAACATTGTTTACGATTTCACTTACATTGACACACTTTTAAGAAGTGAAATATAGGAAAAGAGATAAAAATTGATATTTCAATTTGTTTTCTTTTCTTACTGATACATTACAAATGTTCGATATGCAAAAGATGGTCAAAAAAATTGATTTAATAATCAATAAATCGCAGTGTAAATGAGAAACAAAAGAACGTTTATGATGTTTTTAGATGAATTTACAAATTTGTTCATAAAACCAGTTAGGAGTTACTTGGAAATTATCGTATTGGAATATTTTGAGTGTTTATTCGTTCGCTATGCGAATTCTTAAAGTTATAATGTGGTGCGACTATCATACTACTTATCAACCGAGTAACAATCGTGAGAAACATTTTGACTAATATCGAGTAAACAAATATCAGGAAGAGTGAACTGGATGAGGCTGTGAACCTCCATCATCTGTACCGATTGTCAAATGCGTGACCTGCTGCCTACACTAATATACTGTCGGCTAACATGGAAGTAAACTGAAGATTAAAAGTGGTTAGATTAAGATGTGATGTGGTGTTGTATTTTCTCGGGGAGCCTAATGTAACTCCTATTTACAAGGACCGAACAATGGGGACCATCCTACAACGTATACAATTGCCCCTCAGTAATAACAGACACACAACTAAGATGACCAGTCTTTTAATACATTGAATCAACTCATATCAAGAATATGTTATCAACCTGAGTAATACCCAACTATTTAAAGAAGGTTGGAAATTCATAAAACAAAGTAGATAAAAGTGGCTCTCCATGTCTTTCGGTCAACAACAGCGCATAAAGTTTATGAAGTCAATTATGTGGTGTTCAGAGTAGTTAGAGGGGAGACAGATTACTAGGTTACTCACTAGGTGGCTTTAATATATGGTTCAAATAGCATGATGCTGATAAGTTACAATGCCGTAAATAAGCTAGCGTTTATTATTCTCACAATCTAGTCATTTTATACTTTTCTCTAATTTGTTTCTAACTACATTTTTATGCTAAGTTTTTACTAGCACAGACTTTCACATCGTGAACTTCAAATGGCGGTGTGAAATATGGAAAATTCAATTAATTTATATTTGTGTCAGGTTTTGTGTACTTTTATAGTTGATTGAATATTAATGAAATAATTAAGATGTTGAAATACAGTTCAAAATCAACATCTAACAGCAACAACAACAACAAAAGGAGTTTGATTAGATCATCATTTTAGACCAATAACTTGAACTTAGACACTAGAAACGATCATTTAAAATAGTAAACGTCTAATAATTACAAATATAATTCATATACAAATAAACAGGTACTTACACCAACAGACATAGCTTTAACAAGCTTTTTCTGGCGACTATGTCCAACTATTTCACATTCAGCTATTTGATCATCATCACTTTCTTCAACATGATCTGAATCATCTTGTTCGCTATAAACATCTGGTATAGGATAATCTTCATCTTCATCGACAACTATTAAAAGAAATATAAGACAATTTCAATTAACCGGAAGAATATCTAATAGTTGAGGAGAATCTAATTGAAAATAGTATTTATTTATGTGAACTATGGACACTTTTTATGATGAAATGAAGTCAGATGATGAACTACTGGAAAACAGGAAGCGATATTCAGTTGTTTTAGTTTCAATTAAGTCCTTGTAATCGTACACGCAATTTTAGAAGTGAATTTCATTTGTTTCCGGTAGAAAATAACAGCTCATCAAGCCAAACATTTTAACTGAGAGGGAGTTAGTTATTTACCAGAAACAGTGGATGATGACTGCGCTACATTTAGAATTCATTGAAGTAGTAGAATTTGAACCATTTTACTCTGAATGAGTGGGTTGGTTAATGGTTTCAGGCCCTCTGAGACAGATAATAGGACTGATGTCGTGTGAGTTCATAGGTACGAACTGGCAAGGATTACTAAATTAAAACGAAGCAATAGTTAAGCGCCATTTTGTGTTTCTGCAGCTCTTCAGTCAGAGTCAGTTTGCAATGAAAGTTTTATTCAAACGGAAAATAGTTCTATTCTCATTTATGTCCAGTGCTAATATGGGTGAAATTAGATCTAAATGTTTTGATAAGAAAAAAAATAATTTTTCTATGTAGTCAAATTATTGATTAATTTGACAGAAGAAAAAGCCAAGTAAAAACAAAGTTTGGACAACGAACAATTCCTACTTCTTACATATGTATAGGACGTTTAATTATCTAGAAGACAAATGACATTTACGATTAATTCTATGCACAGTGGTTGTAGGGACATTAGGACTACCAGCATCGTTTAAGGTACACATTAATGAGCGAAAAATGAAACCTTATATATTGTTTCATTGTAAATAAGTGATCACGTATTCAGGTCATAATATCAATCATTTCACTTGCAAATTACAGAGAACGAACAATTTCAAAATCATTTCTACGCATATATATTTAAGGATAGAATTTTGGTTTCTTTTTCGGTTGACCTATATATAACAGGAATATTACCGCAGCTGTTATGTAAGTTAAGGTAATTAGCATTCATTTTAAAGTAATTCTCATTATGCACAGACTTCAGCTGTGAAGTAACTAAAAATAATGGAACACAGCAGTGTTCATATACAACTTATCAACCGAAAAATAAACATGGTTAAATGAAACAAATAATTGAACGATGCGAGTTTGTAGGTTGCTTATTCGACTGTTCGATCTAATTTTAACCCAAAAATATATCAATAAATGTTCTAAGGATTGCTCAAAAATTAGAAGTGACCAGTTATATCCAAGCAACATAAACTGTCAGGAAAGTTAGTTTTTCAAGAACTTGCTGACCGACCACTGCGATAGAAAATTTTTACTCATCAAACATTTCTTGATTACGAAGACTGTGAACATGATACATTCACTTGCCAATACAGCAAAGAATAATTGAATCGACAGATGAACAATTATATTTGATAGTTATAAAAAATGAGCTGTAAGATAGTAGTATATTAGGCATCTAGAATATTTTGATCAATGTCAATGAAACATACTACATATGATTTAATGAAATATTTTTTCCAATTGAATTTGATGAGTATTATTTCTCGCTTTTAACTTATTAGCTTCATACAAGTATCAGTTTATTTGAAGGTATAGAAACGGACATACTACTATTATTACGTAAAAACAGAGTAAAGATAAAGCTATTCATTTAAAAATCGATTGTATTTTTTAATCACAAAACTGAGATAACTCAAATACCATACCACTTTTTGTATCAATATTTAAAATCTATCATCTAATAATTGTACTCAAATAATATTTTGAATATATAGATTCATACGATAATTTATTAAAAACATGTAAATATTTCAGACAAAAAAATGAATTAGTTTAGTTTAATTATTACTTTTTCGAAAAACAAAGGATCTAATCAGTAAAACTATAGATACGAAGTAACATAAAAGATTGTTAATCTGTATAAATCGAATGATGACAGAGAAACGAGAACGAAAAATATCAGAAAATTCAAACGCAACTGATTTTCACACTAGAAGATATTCATTTTTGGAACTTAGTTGAATAACGGAACACTATTTAGATTGATGTTGATTTCGAAAAGGCAACATATTTAGTAATTCTGAGTCTTAATTATTCAGAATACTAAAGTATGTATTTCTTATTCAAACAATAGACTAATTTCATTGAAATCAATAATCGACCAATGTCAAACTACCATCAGAAACCTGGAAGCATTGGACAGCCGTTTCGACCTAATGTGGGACTCATCAGCAGTGCACATTCGCGACCCCTGAACGTGGGAATAGAACCCAAGACCTTTGGTCTTGCCTGCGAACGCTTAACCTCTAGACCACTGAGACGGCATTTAACGATGTTAATGTTTAACTTCAATTAGTCCACGGTATTGCCGGACCACCATCCGTTACCTTCTGCCTCAAGACCGACATGGTTGAACTTACTGATCACGGCTTCTCGTTAGAATACCGAGAATCTCTTCACGAAGCTAATCACTGTAGTGCACATGATAATTGTTACTAGAGGGTTGTGCAGATTGTTGCGTTTCACCAAAATCATGGATAGATGAATGTTAGACCACCCCAGTGGTTTAGAGGTTGTGCATCAACGCGCAAGACTGAAGGTCTTGAGTTCGATTCTCGAGTACGGAGGTTGTGGATGTGCAATTTTGGTGAGTACCACACTGGGACGAAACTGCCGTCGTGTTGTCAGGTTTCCAATGGTGGTCTAACGTTAATCGAATAATAGTTTTAATGAACCTCAACAATCTCCACAACCCGATTATGACAATAGACAAATTCGTTCAACCATTCTGTCACAAGAAACAACTTTACTTCGAAAAGAACGTGAGCTTTCCTACTGAAGAATTCTTATACACTTATTTCTTGAAAAAACACTACTTGTGGGAATTTCCATGAAACCATTGACTGTGACATAGATTAGTAGTAAACGTAGTAGGTTATTTAATAGAAACAAAACTGAGTTTAAATTAGATGTTGGCATTTTCAGATGCCAAGCTCCAAATAAAGAGATTACAATGCTACATATCAAGCATGAAGTACCATAGTATAACCGATTATACAAACAAGGGGTTCTTCCAAGGAACTCATTTTAAGATCAACTGATTAGAAAAAAAAACAAAGAAAAATAGTAAAATCCACCATTAACTAATACATGTGGTAATTCTCATGACTTAAAAACCTAGAAGATAACATATTTCAATGTGTTGGTTCGACTGGAGCTGTGTTTCTACCAACATTCATGACAATGAATGTACATTCAGTTGTCAAATTGTCAATCCAAGACATTAATAGTAGATAAGCAAAGATCAAACTCCTTGAAAATTTATTTACTAATGAAAAAAGGAAAACGTAGTAGAAATACAGAAGAAATAATGATAAAGTACGCATTAGAGATAGTTCACAATTTAAAAGAACTTAATAAATCACTACTAACAAATGTAGAATTATGATAAAACTAACCTTTCCGCTTTCCATTCAATAAATCTTTCTCAATAGGTAAACTTGATAAGTATAAAACTTCGATTTTACCAACTGGATGGGTGGAACACTTTGGATCAGTATGTAAATCTAAAAATCGATTCTCGATACGACGTTGTAAAACCTAATTTTTGTTTAGAAAAGAAAAACACAACAACCTAGAAATCTTTCTTATGAAGGAATTGTTAGAAAGAAACTTTCAGATTATATTTTATTAACAAAAAAAGATTAGTAAGTAACTAGACAGAGAAAGAAAATTTTTAAAACTGTAGTATAATTTTAACAAATTAATAGACTTTATTAAAGATGCAACTTTTGCATAAGTAAGGACATCAAAATTATATTAAATGAAAGTATAATTAATCTATGTTCAAACCAAACAGATATAGGTTATGATAAAGTTTTACATACATTCTATGAAATTAAACAATGCTAATCAATTTTGTACTGTTCACTATACCTTAAATGATAGACAACGAAAATAACTTGTTAAATTATAATTAAATTTAATCTAGTCATTTTACTTACAACTCAAAATTACATTTGAATAAGAAAAAAGATGTCAAGTTAGTAGAAACTAACCGTTCTGAATATTAAATAGTCATTCTATTCCCACTGAAAATCATCGATTTAATACAGAATACGATTACTGTGACTTTGAAACCTGAACATTTAACTGTACATTTCCGTCTAACCAAATGGCGTTAATAACATGATAATTTCGGTGATTGTCACACACATAAACCAGTATTGCTACTTACAACTATTTACACATGAAATATGACATTTATTTTATTTTATGGAAATTTATTCAGTGTAATCAGGTGAAAAGTAAAACCATATTACTAACAACGCATTCACTTCCATATTATAATTTTTCTGTTAGATCTCTACTTAATAATAATAACTGCTCAGTAATATTTTGAAACTGGAACACATACAAACTAACTTAAGGATACTTTTCATCATTGACATGACCTAGAGAACAACTAGTGAGTAATAGACGGATTTTTGGTCCGAAATTAAGTATTCTCAATAAACTGCAACTGCACAGGATTATAACTAGACCGTTCCAGCTTACCGGTTGGACAGTCACTCAGTCAGTTACAACGTAGAACTTCGTACCTACGTACATCAGTTCAAGTTGCCATATTACATTTGCATGATATAACATGATATCACTCAAACAGTAATTATCAATGTAACAATTCAGGTTAAAAAAAAGGCTAAAAGAATGGAGAGGTATTTTTTGATTAACTTTTTATCATGGCACATTGCTCATATATTTTAAGAATATTAAAAATTGTGCAAATCAGGCAGCAGCGTGTTTGAAGACAAAATTTTTACTGAAGCTCTTTTTTAAAATCTCTGATCTTATTCTGGTATTGCACAACCGTTTCATTCTTTTTACGCTTGCATAACTCTTGACTATTTTAATGGATGTTAAGTGGTTAGTTAATTGTACAGTTACATATTCAAAATCATTCATTTAATAGTCAATATTCTTTAATATTAGGAGTCAACTTCGAGCGAGACCGAAGGTCCTGGGTTCGATTCCTGAGCGCGAAGGTCGTGGATTTTCACTGCTGAGTACCGTACTAGGACGAAACAGCAGTTAAGTGCTTCCAAGTTTCTGATAGTAGTTTAACACTGATCGATTCATAATTTTAAAGGATCCTGCACATCGCATGCTTAGTTGAAGCTTAGTTCGATCTACAGTCAACTAATTGGCATTGCTAGATGGATTAACAATAAACCGGAATCTTCTTCTCTGAATTCTATATAAAACTTGCGCATTTGTCAGAGTATGTTTTGTTGTTGAAATTTATCAGTATATATATATATATATATATATATATATATATATATATATATATATATAGTCGACTTTCACATTAAATTCCATAATACTAAGCGTCCTATTCACAAAATCTAGACATCTAGACAATCGAATCCTTCCTAAACCTCTTGATAATTCTCTTATCCCCACGAATAACCTTTCTTTCATTCCTTATCACTTCGCGCTGCTAATGCAAACGATTCGAGCTCACGAAACATTATTCTTGATATCTTGAAACCAAACTCTAAACTACACGTTAGAGCTTTCAATGTTCGAAACATGAGTATAATAAGGTAACAGGCTTCCTTAGCTAGGACTCTGGAGTCTCGCTCCATAGATGTATGCTACAACTCCGAAACACCCATACAGGATCTGAATAGCGTCATTCGTTTGACCTCACCGTGTCAAAATAAAGAAGCACCCTTACTTACTATTCGTTTATCTGGAGGCTCTGATGCTGCTTCCCGAGGTCTAGCTGGCGTAGGTATAGCACTGTTAACATAGCATATTATACGATAATGGTGTAGAGGAGAAGATAGACTCTATTAGAGGATTCAAAACGTTTAGTTATGTCGACTTAAGAAAGCTACAAACTCTTACTGTAAACAAAAGCTAAAGGAACCAACTTTAAAACTTAGAGATCTTACTTGGGCAAGGTTGACATTACAATAAGCTAACGTTTTATATCCTAAATTCACGGCTTTGCTTTTGTATTTTTTACGACGTTGGAGCAAAATTTGAAGTGTATTAGAATCTCGGGTGAGAAAGTGAGAATACTGAATATTGCATGTGAAGTCAATAAGGACTGAAACACCACCACCAACTAAGGATGCAGCTGTGTTGAGAGAAAGAGGGCATCCTCCTTGACCGGATAAGTCGCTGCAGCCAGTTTCAGTAGGGTTATGTTGAGCATTGTTTGAATGAAAATTTGAAACTCCATTTTGTGGCTGAGAAGCACGTGGACAAATAAGAGTGATCTCAGGTGATCTTAAAACTCGACGAGCTGCACCACGCATACGGACCACTACATAGAATCCCGTATTGGCGCATTCAGGTTCAATAGGCCTATCCAATATTATTTGCACCAAACTAAGGCTACAAAGTCTAACAACAAAATATTTACGTGTATTTCAAAAATTCACAAGTTAAAGCAAAAATGTAGTGCTTCCGCAGTTAAGACATCTATAGATACGAGATGAAAAACGAATGTTAAAGTCTAGTGTATAATAAGGACAAATTCAAACACATCGAAAACACAATCACTATCATCATTTGTAAGCTACCATAAATACTGGCTAGAACAGAAATGAAAACGAATATCTTGTTCCGAGAAAATCCGGTTATTAATTGCTAAACCGGATTAAGAAGACAGGACTGAAGGAAAACTAGGAAAAAGTATGGAATTCCTCTAGTTTACATGGTCAAAAGTACCATTATATACTTTGTGTTCTCTCTAATTCTAACCTTCTGAATTCCTCATAATCTTTACCTTTCTCCTTCAAAATTTATCTTACTGAATCATACTTCTCGAATCATATCTTCGCTCCCTAATCTTCCCCATTACTGCCAATACTTCTACTGTCACTATTACTCTTGGATTTGAACTGATAGTTGCGTCTCTGTGCTGATGTGGTATGGCAACCTGATCTGATGTACTTACGTACGAAGTTCTGCGTTGTACGTGTCTGTCTACCTAGCCGATGAGTGAGTGCAGGGACCCGGGAATAAGCCACAATCCGAGTTGCCGATAAATACTAAATAGTAACCTACAGATTAATCGACTACATATATATACATGGAACAATCGCTAGTACTCACTCAGGTTTAAACTATTCAATATCACGGAAAACGTGCTAATTTGTTTAGTAATAGTTCGATTCCGAATTTAATATCTTACTAACCAAGTGATGAATGTGAACTCATAGGCTAGGGATACGAAACAGTAATCTTGTGAAGAAATTCCAGCAATTTGTAAGAAATCGCACCCAGCCCAAGTGCTGTGTAAGTTTCATTTCAAGAAAAACATATTAATTTAACTTTTAGGCATAAATACTTTCGTTCGTTTCAAGACGTAACACCGATATAATTGGACACGTAGGCGCGTCTACTGGTCTCCTAGACTTAATATCGACTACTTTAAGTAAACATGCTACTTACTAGATCGCTTTAAGTTATGAGACTGATTCACTGGAGTAATGTAAAACTAATAACGTGAATAAGTATGGAGTTAAGTGAAAGCATTGAGTTATGACAATTAGTGCTGAATCATACTCGAAATCTTCTGAAAAACGACTACATGTAGACTAACGTTACGGGTAAATGCCTCAACTAGGAGCTATGTATGAATTTGATATAAAGCGAGGGGAGATCACATCCTCACATAGAGCTCACGGTAGATTCCTTGTACTAGGCGCAACAAAAAAATCCAGGGATATGTTGGAGCAAGTATACTTATCTCAGTAATTAAAAAGCGAACTAAAGTTAATTATCAGGGTGTTGAAAAATAAGTCTCTTTATGAGCCTCACACCCAAAATGTGGTAATAAAATTGTTTATTGTGGCAGTTTAAACAAAACTAGATCAAAATTCCACAGACTACAAAGAAACTCCGATTAGCAGACCTTATCACTTCCTTAAGATCGAGTGAGCATTGCGCAGGTTCCCTTAAGTATGTTTGTACCAGATACTAAATATTGACTTACCTCGGGATAGCATTTGATGAAGACTTCTCGGCTTCCCATGAAGCCGACATTTTCATAGAAATCATCCCGGTGTTTGACATCACCTACGACTCCTATTACAAGGTCATCCAGGAGTCACACTCAAGTACGCGCCTCCGTGTAGGTCAATTTCAATAAATTCAATGCATGACAGTTAGATCATTCTAAGTACTTGAAAAGCTTTTTATTCGAATTTTTCGGAATCCATCCGGACTTCCTATGAACATATTCTATAACCTGTAAAATTCCTAATCTATATAAACAACAATGGCCAGAGAAATTGCCACTGAGGATAAAACTGATTGTTTGACTACTGAGAGAAATGTGTTCCTAATTCAAGCTAAAGCAGGTACTTTTGGATATAAATTTGGAGGATCACTTAAGAAGAGATATTCAAGCACTAAAATGTAATCCAATCCTGAGTGGAATGTTAACAGAGGCAAATGAGGTACTAACAATCATTACAATTTTGATACTGAAGAAAAATGTCGCTAATTGAGTATGAAAATGTTCTCGAAACTTTTAAAAAATACGTTCTAACTCCTGTTGGGAATAAATATACTAGATTATACCTGTTTTTTGTGGAAAATTTCAGATGTATACTGTCAAATAAATCTCCGTAATTAGTAATTCTGCACATCTTCAATTTCATGCTCACTTCATCACTTTGTTGGATAACCCCTACCTGAAGGTTCTCTGTCACACATCCACACCAGATCCTTATCGAATACTTCGTGCTACGCATCCCTCCCAACAAACTGTCAGCCCGCCTAATTCTACACACAAACTATCCCTCAAATATATCTTCAAAATCCTACATTCTTTACTGTTGGTTTGACTGTATCCTCCGTTATAAAGATGTTGCAGACAAGAGAACTATCAAGCCTTGAACAATGATAACATCTTTAGTGACGAACTAAACTAGACACAGTATATCAAACGAAGGCTGTGATTCTGATTCTTGTTATAGTGCTATATTTACATTTTTCAACATGTTAAGATAAAAATTTTCATGTTAACAGACTATAAAGATGTCTGTGAGTTTTCCATTATCACGTTGGAATACGCCAGCTATCCAAGATCAAATTCTTACACCAATCGTGTCAGACTTTCATTGCATACCATTCGTGCCTGGTTTCTCATATGAAGGGATGGATTTCCAAGAGCACAGAGTGATAGTTCTACGGGCGTGGTTCCTCGCAGTAGCGAAAGTACTGTAGTGAGTTTTGAACGACTATATTACACTTAGGATATTGGCTGGTTATGTTTCTGAACCTTATGACTCCATGAAAAGTCTGTCGCTAGATCTAATCCATTGATAAAGATTCTGTTATAATAAGTCTGAACAAGAATCGTCATAAAACAGGTTGTTACGCATACAGATGACTGTTAACCAAACCCTGAAGAAACCTCTTAAAATATTAAGACCCTTACCTCTTGGCTTTATTCTCCCAAATAAAAGGCACAGTCGCCGCAAAATGAGATTAAAGATATGCATTGCTGGTTTCCTTAATCCAAAGCATGTTAGAAAACGATCTGAAGACCTCCGGATAGGATCGGTACATTGAAGATCTGCTTCTAGATCACAAGAAACAAGTGATCATAAATGCCATCGGCACCATATCATCACTGGTAAGTCTTCCAGAAACCTGACTAAAGCTTAAGATTTTCCATCCCCGAACATTCTATCACAACAAACCTTTCACGATAATTGTTTGACTATTGTAAAGAGATGGGATAGGTAAAAATATAATAAGGATCATCAAATTTTTCCGAAAATTATTTTGCAAATCACAGTCTACCACATATTTAATAATATAAAACCTGGTGAATCCGAATTCCCGTTGGTTTAGTAATGAAACAATGCATCTCAATAAATTATATCCATTATATTTCACAGTAAAGAAATTGCTTTATTAGCCTGTTTTATATATTAGAAGAGCTAAATGTTCTGCAAAGTCCAAATTTTTAAACCGCATCCTAGCCGACCGCAGTATTCCTTCAGATTTTTAGGTAACTATAGTCCATACAACCACCAAAAGAAAGAGGACGTGACAGAATAAATAACCTAGTATGACACCAGTCTTTCCTTGCAAGCCGTATATGAGCTATCCTGTATGCATGATTTTGCGTATGATGTTGACAGTCTTCTCAGGTACACAGTAGTGTCGTGGGATCCCTCATGATTTTATAGATGTTCGAGTTGCGGGATGACGAACAAGTCTGCAAACGAGTTTAATGCAGATCTTTTAGCGGAAGGAAGAAGACAGAATAGGTTAGACGAAATTGTTGTATTTGCTGGCGATATCGTGGTACGGGAGAAATGCCAAAACGTGTCACAGCATGAGCGGCCAAAGCATGATGAAGACCGGGAAGAAGAGCAGCAGCGTGACCGTAGTGTAATGTCAGTACATATACGAAAAGGAAAAACGTCATTGCTGATAAACGAAAGTGGGAATGAAAAAAAGATATTCGAGAGTACATTCACTGGTACAATTGATTGCAAAGTTGAAGGTCGTAATTTAACAAATCGAGTTATTGTAATCAACTATTGTATTCAATTAATTGCTCATTAATGGTCCGTAGTGTAACAGTTTGGTCAGAACACGGTCTATCCTTACGAAATACAGCCTGTTGATCTTGAAACTTTCATTTGGTTTGTCAACAGTGCTTCTAACCCTTTTCCCGAGATTGACACTAGAGCGATGCCTCTGTAGTCCTCGTACTTGCTAAGATATATTTTCTTTGGTATCTTGATCAGTTATCCTTCTTTCTAGTCTGTTAGCACATTGCTTTCCTCCTAAATCGTTTAGAAAAGATCGCTTTAAGTGCTTCAGCTAGTATGTTGTCTGGTCCTACTGCGTGACCATCCTTGATATGTCTGTCTACTATCTGAATCCATGTCAGCTTATTTATTTATTCTCCCCTCCTGCATTGTCCTTCTGAACTTTCGCTGACGAACAACTAATGGATTCGGTTCTTTATTGTGGGATCTGGTGAAACTCATATGAATTTGAGCATATGTTTAAGTGGGAATATGTTTCAATCCATTACCATTTTGTTAAAGGCACATAGATTTGTGCATACATCACCATTCTGTATCCTGTCTTCCGGTCCGTTTTGTACCGGGATTTCATCGTATCCAGTGTAGTCATTTGAAACATGATCGTTTTCATCACTCATAAGAATTGTGAAATTTCTTCCTGGACATTTTCCGACGAGTTACCTTTCAACAACGAAGAGCTAAGATGGTGAAAACGTTCCATCTAGTTATCGCTTTTACCAAGTGCATTCTATGGTATTGGGGGGTAGACTCAATATATAAGCAAAGGAACTCGATGAAGTCTCCAGCTACATAGTGATAACCTTTGAATTTCTCTCCATAGCTGTAAACAGATTAAATGGACCTGAAATTCATCAATTATGATCACTCCAAAGACATATATGAAGGACAGCCAACGTAAACTCATTTTGTATTTATTCGGTACTTCGAGATGGCGAAGAAAATTTGTAGCTCAGGTGGATGATTGTGCTGATGTTTTGTTCTCTGAGCTGGTTGTTTTGGTTGTGGAGCTTTCATTGTTCTTCTGAAAAACATCATCAGCACAAACTTCAGATAGAAGTGGAGATTTCGGACTTCCCCACGTTTGACTTGTAGCTTGTTCTACTAACCTCGATCTTGATTGGTTGCTATCGACCTTAAGCCTGTCGTTGTTTGCACCTTTGTTTTGATTGTATCCCCTTTTGGTCTGTTTCTTGATCCAATGTGGCATATGGTTTTTCTGATTAGTCGATAATTTGGGTCAATGTCCATGTGTTTGTTGATTGCTGATTGATCTGAGTGCCAAGCTTCTAAAAATTCTCTAGTGTTCTTTGTTCTCCCCCTATCCAGTGTTTCTACATTATTCCAATCGAATGTATGTCCATAATTGTCGGTGTGTATTGATATAAGCGAAGAATTTGTAGAATCCTTTTTGAATGTTTTGCTTTTTGGAAAATCCCTCCATGTTTACATATTTTGCTATGATATGACGGACTTTTACCTTTGACATTTTTGGTATTTTATTTGATTCCAATTTGAGATTTTATCATTGTATATTGTTATTCTTTCTATATTTTGTACTTATATTGAAGTTTTTGTGTTTGCTTCTGAACTGTACATATATTGTTTAAATCTGATATAATATGGCTACCGCCACATTTTTGGACGGACGCAGTGGCCGCTGGACTTAGCGTCACTTAATTGTTATTGTGTCGGATACTCTGCGGAGTAACTTACCCTGGAAGAAGCACTATATCCGTAAAGCTTTGTATTTCCATTTTTTAACTAATACAGAGACGTTTTCTCCTAGAATTTTGTCCTTTTTGAATTGGTTGGGACCCGGAGCTGGGAGAAGCTTACAGGAGTGCTTCTATTGGAACCAATTGGGACGGCCACTGTAGAAACACATTTACAGTCTGGATATACTTCTATCCTCGATTATATCCTGGAATTATCGATTACGATTACCGTTGGATTATTAAGAATTATAAAGAAACATTTGGAATTTTAATCGTTTATCCCACTAGACTTTCTCGGAGGAAGAAGTTTGGATTATTTATCATATTCCGAAGCTGAACTGTGGAATTACTATATTTTGTATTTGGTACCTTCTTTATTGAACTTCACTTATGATGTCAAACAGAAAAAAATCACTCATGAGGAGGGTGGAAGAGCTCGACGGATCACAGGGCTCTAGGCAAGTCGTTAATGATGACTTTTTTATGGGTAACCCACATGTTATGTCTGATATTTATTATTGTAAGTCACCATTGGCAGGCATTAAGGAAACAGGATTAAGTGAGAGTTCTAAAGTACCAGAGACCGATCAGATACGAAAGACATCGATAGAGGGTTTAGAACTACCTAAGGTTGAACTTTCATTTTTTGATGGAAGGTCTCGCGACTATTTTAGGTTCATGCGACAAATAGAGACGTTTATAGAACCTCGAATAAAGGACGATCAAGTGCGTTTATTGTATTTAATTCACTACTGTAAGGGAAAAGCAAAAAATGCGATTGAAGGCTGTATTATTATGGATCCACAAGCAGGATATAAGAGAGCTAAGGCCATTTTAAAACAGCTCTTTGGACAGTCGCATGTAATAGCCCGAGAAACCTTAGAGGATTTATTTAGAACTGGGAATGTAGATTTCAATGATCCTGAATTATTGACGAACTTGGCTATTAAAATGCAGAATGCTGCTTTAACTTTGGAACAGCTAAATTGCACAACGGAACTTAATTCCATGGTTACTTTAGAACGAATAGTAAGGCTCTTACCTCGTCGAATGCAAGCCCAGTGGGCAGAGCTAGTAATCAAGTGGGACGAAGAGGAGAGAGAGCCCAATTTTAACGAATTGACGGAATTTATTATGTCTCGTGCTAAGATAGCTAGTAGTAGGTTTGGAAGATTAGCTTATCAGGTTAAAACAGGAAATAATACGGAAGCTACTAGTGGTCTGCGTGCGAGACATGAGGATTTTTCGTTTCTACCTAAAGCACGCTCGGAAGATAAGAGATTTGTCAATTATATCACGAAAGCATACGCTGATGAAGGACGAGTATGTGACCGTAACGATGTTAAATCTCTTGATGCGTATCCTAGTAAGAAGCCGGTTGGTGTAACGGATAAGATGGCTTTTCTAAGTATAGAAAAGAAAGAAAAAGGTGAAAAGTGTAGGCATCAAGATGGATCCGAAGTGTGTGATGATAAAAGCCTCTTATCTGCTCGAAAAGCCTGGAACGGTAATTTGGATTCGAGTAATCAGAGGTTAATGAGTTCAGCAAATATGAATAAGACCCAGGCAGGATTGTCTGAACGGAATAAAGCTTATTTTTGGAACCCTTCATTTAGGGTAAATTATATAACTGGACCTAGAGTAGATTCTAGGATAAGTGATGGTGGTACTGTAAGGGCTAAGAAGCCTAGGAGACAACATGATGCTACTATTACTAAGAAGCCTAAACCTCATGCTCTTTCGGATGCTACGACTAGCCATGGAAATAGTAGCCATCAGAACCTTAGTAGTGACAGTGATAATAAGGAGATAGAAAGTGTCAGCAGTCCACTTATAGTGACTAGTTTGTCAACTTCATCGAATGAGCCTCCTAGTGTTTCGACGTCATCGGACCTCGTCACGAATGTTAAGTTGATTGAAGATGCACAAGGTTGTGCAACTGTAACTGTTCCTATTACGGTTGACTGTCAGTCGAGTGATGATGAGAAGAAAGTGTTTGATGGTAACGGCCAGTCTACAGGGTTGTGTGATGACGATGCTATTGATGAGCATATGTCTTGTGTCTCTGAAACGGATGCTAATGCACACCGAATCGACGCGACTTGTCTGACAGAACGAAATCATTTAGACGTTGATAATAAACTGGATGTCACTGATGTGACAAATGAGTTACTGACGATGACGAATACTGATCAAACCTCCTCTGTATCGGGAGAGGGAAAGATAAATATTGATCCCACGTCATGCTACTTAAAGTCTTCTGGAGACGATGAAATGTCAAAATTGGAGATCCAACCCTTGCATATTATCTACGGGTGAAGAATTTCTGTTGATAAGTTAGCATCACGGACTTCATCGTATCTGCTGATCGGAGCAAGTGGTGGTGGATTGGCGACTCGTCCCCATGAAAGAGAATGTAGTCCTTGGATAGGATATGACCAGTTTTACGACGTGTTGTTCATGTTCGTGTGGGTTAACTGGGTAAGGTTTATACTACCGTTAGGTCATGCCACGATAGATAGGGGAATCAAGGGCCTGATGGGAAAGTATAGGTACCTAGTTAACACGATAGGTCATATCCATGTTGGATGGCGGGTAGGCGTACTGCTGTAAGTCCTACACGTTATTCCGGTGTGGATTAGGGGATAACTGGGAACCCTAAATAAAGTGTCATTAACGCTTGCTCTTTTTGCATGGAGGGATTTTGCGGGCCGGTGTAGAATCCTTTTTGAATGTTTTGCTTTTTGGAAAATCCCTCCATGTTTACATATTTTGCTATGATATGACGGACTTTTACCTTTGACATTTTTGGTATTTTATTTGATTCCAATTTGAGATTTTATCATTGTATATTGTTATTCTTTCTATATTTTGTACTTATATTGAAGTTTTTGTGTTTGCTTCTGAACTGTACATATGTTGTTTAAATTTGATATAATATGGCTACCGCCACATTTTTGGACGGACGCAGTGGCCGCTGAACTTAGCGTCACTTAATTGTTATTGTGTCGGATACTCTGCGGAGTAACTTTACCCTGGAAGAAGCACTATATCCGTAATGCTTTGTATTTCCATTTTTTAACTAATACAGAGACGTTTTCTCCTAGAATTTTGTCCTTTTTGAATTGGTTGGGACCCGGAGCTGGGAGAAGCGTACAGGAGTGCCTCTATTGGAACCAATTGGGACGGCCACTGTCGAAATACATTTACAGAATTGTCGTGGCGTGTAGGATTTAATTTGTCCTACTGATATAATTATAGAACGATAAACGCCATATTAGCGAGCACAGAGTCTATGAGAAAACTATAGTCAGAAGAAGATCAACTTTTCCTTCAAACTTTATCTGTTTCTAAACGTAAAAACAAATAAATTTGTACAATAAATAAGGACATTACAGTTATCAAGTGAATCCAATAAACATACCGACCAATATAGCGTGTCTTATTGAAGTGAATAAAGTTATGAGTCACATCAATATGATAAGATAATAATGTCCTTCATTTATTCGGTCATTTACAACAAAGAAATTTTACAGACACGTCAGATCAGATCACGTGGTGGGCGCCTAAACCAAAATTTGATTGGTTATTTATAACAAAACTACAATTAGTTATGGAAATAACTAACATGGCGTTTGACTGCTAATTGGTGTTCACGTAAACGAAGATGAAGAGGACGACAACTTTGTCCTATTTAGTGTTTTTCACAGTCTGAGAAATTTATTTTGTAGATGATATTCGTTTTCTCTCCCTCTGTCATTTTGTCCTTTGGTCTACATAAGATTGATCGAAGTGATTCCGTTGGTTTGTGCGCCACACCTGTTCCAAATGGTTTCAGTAGTCGTGCTATTTGTTCCTATATGTCTTTTATGTATGGTAGGATGATCAGCTTATTGGTTTCTGTACTTCATTTCACTTGTGTTGACGATTTCGGTTGATATGTTTTGATGAAGTTGCGTGGATAGCTGTCCTTTGGAAAGATGTTGGTTTTGTGTAGTTTCTGCCTATCGCAGAATTTTGGGATGACTGATTCATTTCGTTTCATTCTCTATTGATCGTGTCTTGATTTTGTCCTTCTTTGACAAGCTTGTGTAGACTCCTTGAGATTTGGCTGCCAAACATTTTTGTTGGATTTCTATCCATCGGTTTATCTACACTGCTGTCCTTAAGTAATTCCTTGGCTTTCCTGATATGTTGTTCCTTGTCCATCATTTATGTGGTGCCTCCTTTATCCCCGGAACTATCTTCTATGATTCTGGATTTCTCTACGACTTTTAGTTGTTGTGCTATTATTCGGTTGTTGTTGTTTTAATACGTTTCTTCTTATTTCTTGTTGAGTTTCTGCATTTATTCTGGCCGTTTTTAGTGATGATTCTAGTTTTCTTTTTTGTTCATCCATGTGTTGGTATTTGTGGATCCTGTAGAGTGAATCAGTAATCATTAGTAGTGCCACGTGTCGCCCATTTTGCTCCGCTATTCGCCATCCTATTGGGTGATCGATTGGTAGTCTTTATCTGACACCTAGTAGCAGAACACGCTGACGAGGACATTTTTGGAGAAAGTGTGGAAACCTGCCTCTTGGCCAAATTCTCCCATTTTCAAACATCTAGAAGCGTATCACTCTCATATGATTTTGAAATTGTGGGGAAAATCTGTAGCTCATGTGGATGATTGTGGTGGATTTTCGCTCTCTGCGCTTGATTTATCATCCAATCAGAAAAATCGTAGGTGACATAGGATCAGGAGACAGATCAGTGGGGGATAAAATCAAAATAAAGGCGCATAATACGACAGGTTTGAAATTGACAAAAACCAATCAAGGTTAGCAGAACAAACTACAGGTCAAACGTGGAGATATTCACTTCTATCTGAAGTGTGTTCTGATGACGTTTTTCAGAACAATGAAAGCTCTAGAACCAAAACATCCAGCTCAGAGAACGAAACACCACAACAATCAATACTTCTTTTCCAACCTCATAAAAAAGGAACTTGGTGCATAATGTTTATTGCTTTAGCTTTAACTTTGTGTGGCAGCATTTTTTGCAATAAATGTTTTTCGATCATCTGAGTCAAGGTTGGCGGGATTCTGGCCCCTGTTCAAGGTTATTCTTTTGTAACTCTTTCGAAACCTTACTCTAGCAACTTCTAGTTTTGATTCTTTATTTCTGGTTACTGTCTATCGCTTTCTCTATTGAATGTAAGTGAATTCAGTGTGCTTAACAAGCCGTTCGGTCACCTTTTACTCTTGTTCTCTCATCTTCTAGATTACCTCACACTTTGCTCCACAGATACCACAGCACACGAGGTGCCTCCTTGCTGAACGCATATTAACCAAAGCCTGAATTTACACTTTCAGTTTCCTTGAAGATGGATATCGGAAGTCTTAGGCAAATAATTCACAGTAAATTTTAGTCGTTGGAAAGATGGAAGAACCTCAAATAGCATTTGTGGGATCACCTCCACTTTCTGGAGAAGAAGTTTGTGCTTCTGATATCAATTTTGACAGAACTCTTCCTGGCCTGCACCAGGTAAATTAGTTTTCGTCTAAGTGGTCCTCAAGTATCTTGGGACAGATTTTGTAGATGTAGGTGGGCGAACGTTTCTGGAGCCTGGGAGTGAGACTCATATGTACGCGTTTTATCGCAAAGATGTAGTATTGGTGCCTGGAAATTCTCTTCCACTTATCCCTTACGATCCACTAGAGTCAGATCTTCTCCAAAAAATTAATAAGGAGAAAAAGCCTTTGATATTTCTACCTGGATAGTGAGTTTTTGTTTCTGCGCTCATAGTTTTGTTGTTTACCACTAAATTTTACACCTTTGATACTTAAATTTGATCTACAAGGAATGAACCAACTGGTTTAAGTTTATTCTTCCCTAGACCACCACATACAAAGTTCTACGTTGTAACTGACTGAGACCACCACCTAGAATATTTGCGAACTGGTGCTATTGTACATCTAAATCAGTACAGAGATGAAGCTTGAAAGGTTGACATAATCACCGGTGAGATAATAATTTAAAGATGACTTCTAATCGATGCTGAAATTCACCTAATTACTGTGGTCAAAGGAGGATCACAGTTTAGCGTGAGGCGTTGAGATTTAGGGTTAGAAGTTAGGGTTTTTGTCACAAACTGACATCATTTGCAATGCCAAAATGCTATTTAGCCGTATGGGTAAGTGAGTTTTGCTCTAAAACCCAAGAGTTGCTGTTTTAAATCACATCCATCCACGACAAGTAGTTTTGTCTCACTCTGTATGTATGATAGTTGTTCGAGAAATATGTGCTAATCCGATATATCAGGTGTGAAAGTAGTATGATTTTTGGGATATCGTACGTAATTTTGTACAGGTCTTAGGAAATTTCTTGTAATTAGCAACTCTTCAGCCTATTCACTCAACATTACCCGAAGATCAAAGTTTCTGGCTCAAGGCAGCTTAGATGTCACATTGTTACCAGTCGCTAATAAATCTAGTGTGTACCAGATTTTAAATACTTTGATGGTATCTCTGGGGATTCAAGTCATACCATGTTATGTTGTAAATATATATTTTAGAAGTCAAAGTATTTTACTTAACGAATTGGGGCAAGCAAACTGGCTTCAATAAGCTTTCAATAAAGCATTAAACTAAGTTAAATCCAAGGTTGGTTGTTAGTCCGCTCGCTAAGTAGATAAAAATCAGTTGCATTCACAAAACTGGACAAATATGTAAACCTACCACTTTGCAAAGTGTCAAACTTATGAACAGTAGGCATCTGTAATATTTACAAATTTTCTCCATCCGTTCTTTTTTGCGGATTGCGTGTGGCAATAAGCATGGGTCTCTCACATTTACAATCTTGCAGTCCCTATGTAAATACCCCGTAACTTTGTGCTCAGTCTGAGCTACAGAATTGAAAACAGTAACTGCACTTGATAAATATACAGGACTTTTCTGACTCGTCTTATAAACTGTCCTTTTCGTTTTTAGAAAAAGCTTCATAATTTATGAAATTATCAAGGTATGTGCTCTACTGCTTGCAGACTATTAGTTTCTTCCATACTGTTCAAACTACAGGAATTGTAAATGATTGAGTTCCTAAACTATATCTTCGACGTCTGTCGTTATCCTGGAACATATTGTTTATCAGATGTTCGTTGTGTCTTGATTTCGTGGTTGCTCTAGATTCGTTGAGACGTTCTGTGTTTAGAAATCGCCTGTGTAACAATGGTTCACCTGCAAACCTTATTAATATCTTGAAGGCCCTGTCTGCTATCACTTCACTAAGAGTAAAGTCATACAAATACTTTTGTTGCTACAATTCAACGTTTGTAAAACGGGGTTCCACAATCTTACTATTCCGTTTAAGGTTGCTACCAACAGTAATGTCATAACAACCAGGGAGGAAATTCGTCATGAACAAAGATTTTTCTGTATTTCGCATGCAAATGATATCTTATTGCGCGATAAAACTTGGGTCGTTGTAATCGTGATGACCCACTTGAGATGTATTCAGTGCATCCAAAATGAAGAATGCTTCTGCAAAACTGACAGGAACAGAGTCGCATATCTAACCAACTCAACTATTTTCAGAATTGGATTATGTAGCATAACCCTTTTTAGAACCTGTTGTTTTTTATCAATCTCTTTACAGCCAGAATAAATAATCCCGACCGAAGCTGCTACCTTGACGTGGTGGTCGGGCTTGCCTATCGTGATGACCCAACCGAGCTATACTGGCTGGAACATATGTTCCTGCAGGTCCTACCATGCCAGGCAGGTCGATTGGAGAACGATGAGACTAAAAGCAGCTACCCAAGGTCTGAGGGCGAAGTCGTACTGCTGACTGCAGAGGGGTGTGACAGCAGTAAGGTGTTTCCCTCGGACAACCAGCATCTGCAGCGATGCTGCCTTCTCACAAGGAAGGAAGGGTTAGAAAAGGTCGGCCCTAAAAATGTCACACTCCCCCTAACTCACGGATTTCCGTCTCCCTGGGTAAGGGTGCCCACTAAGGGCCTTTAAGAACGGAGCTAATCCTCAAAATACCTTTGATAAAAAGGCCGTGCGTGACCGGCCTCAAGCAGTTGTCCCTTGGACTCTGCGGTCACGCACCAACACTAATCCATCTTCCTTTTCAGGTCCCTCAAGAAACAACCTTCCACGGTGTGGGCAGCCGGGAAGTGACAACCGCCCTCATACCCGTAACAGCACGCGAGACCAAATTGGTCAAAATCAAATCCTTCCTACACTCTTCGTGCTATGTTTATTGGTAGACAGCGAATTCGCATCACTAAAGCAACGCGCGACTCTTTATAGTAATTTTTTCCACATAAATTATTTAATTCTTACCAATTTTTTATTCGATTTAAGCATAACTATGTTTTTTCACTAAAATTATCGTTCTCATACCGTCCAAATTCATTTTAATGAATGGGATATATTTATTAAGACAAAATATTAGAAAAGATCAGTTCAGCGAAGAGCTCGTTCCTAAGGCTGTACAACCATAAATATACACTCAAAATGATAATAAATAATGCCTGTTAATGATGATAATAATCAAAAGCACAATGATTTAGATAATGCGATGAGAAGACAGAGGTTATCAGAATTATGTGATATATTCGTGCAATATATTTCGAATAGTCTAATCACACATTCTTGGTAAGAAAAATGAAATGAAAAATTATCAGATCAACTAGACAACTTAGAAGATAAGGGGAAACAAAGAACGATGAAGTACACAACTTGAAAATAATGCAGAATAATAAATTAGTAATACCAAGGTAGGCTAAGGGTAAAAATAAGTTGTTTTTGAATACATTAAGGGGATTTTACTTTATCGCATTATCTAAATCATTGTGATTTTGATTATTATCATCATTAACAGGCATTATTTATTATCATTTTGAGTGTATATATATGGTTGTACAGCCTTAAGAACGAGCTCTTCTCTTAACCAGTACTCATTATTTTTGGTTTTAGTACTGTGA